ACTGCGGTCCGCAGATGTCTCTGTAATCGATGGGGATGAAAGTGGTAGTTATTGGTTAGCTGAAGCTGGGGGACTGGGGAGCCGGTACCACCCAGAGGCCTGACCTTGAACCTGGCTCTCCCGCTCTCTAGCTGGGGGCTGCAGGCCAGACACGTTCCCAGGTCTCGTTTTCCTTGGGCGTGAAGGGGGCTCCTCACCGAAACTGTCGCAGGTTAAGACCATGCAAAGCGCCCAGCACAGCGTCCGCTGAACAGCGCGTTCCTGACGGGTGATAGCTGTGTGACTTGCCTGCCTCACGGGACGCATGCGACGTGGGAAGGCAAACAACAAGTATGCCTCAGGAGCGTAGCTGCAGGTGTTCTGAGACGTCACAACTAGGACCTAGCTCCAGTTTTCTTTTCCCCAGATGTGTGAAACTGTACTGCACGTACTGACCAGTGCATCCCCACTAACGCTGTGTCTTTGTCTGTCCCAAGGGACATATTTGGAGAAGACTGCGTCAGTGTGAAAGACGGCTCTGTCCTCGGTGTCACCGTGGACGGGAAGACGGCCAATATAAACCTGGAGACTCGGGTGTGTGGCTGTTCCTGCGTTGTAAGACATTTAGGAAATACAAGAGCGGGCAAAAGTGGGTTTACAGGAGCGAGTCCACTAGGTAGCCTGTTCTTCTATTCTTTATTGACTGTGGTGTCATTTTCCACACGCGTAGCAGTAAACCTGCTCACGCCCCACCCCGCACACACAGCACTACCTTCTTGCTCTTCTTTTCGCACGCTCGGTGGGCTTTTTAGCTGCCACGCAGCCCCCATTCCCAGGCGTAGACCCCTCCGCCGTTCTCCTTCTGTGCAGCGCCCCTCCGTCCCCGCCCCCACACCCACCCCCACCCCCCACACTCCTCTCGTCGGCCCATGGTGGGGTCCAGCTTTCCCGGGGAAGCCGCTCTTGTGTTTGCACTGCCGGCAGGACCTGGCGCGTCTCCAAACACCGAGACGCGAGAGCGCGGGCCTGGCTTCGGTCTCCCGGCTCCCGTCTCGCACCAGTGGGCCTCGCACAGTGAGCCCACCCGTGTGTGCGAGTGGGCGCGTGTCCTTGGGGGGCTGTTCTGAACGCTACAACAGTTTAAACAAGTGCATGTGGGAAATTTCCTTTGCCCTTTGACTGCTTGGGCGCTTCGAGAAAACGCTGCATTTACTTCACCTGGATAGAAAAACATGCTCAGAGCACAAACTGGTGACTGACTAGAGAAGAAGCGGAGACAGCCAGTGAGCGTCAGAAACTAGCGCTCAGGCCCCCTGACAGTCAGAGGAGACACAGAGTAAAGTGTGGAATGCCAGTGTTCGCGCGCCATGGCAGCACGAATTGAACAGAAATCGCTGAGATCGTTGGTAGGAGAGGAGACAGGGTGTCCAGAGGTGCCGTGGGGGGTGCGGACAGGCTGTGAATCGGGCGGTGCCTTCTTTAGCCGAGGCAGTGCTGAGAGAGGCATCAGAATCCTTAAACATGTGAATACCTTTGCCCATGATTCCACTTGCTGGGTTTAACCAAAGGCAGGAATCAGGCCAGTGAGCACAGATGCGTACAGGGACACCTGTTTGAGCACTGATCGCAGCATGAGCGAAACTGCCCGAGACCCAGGCGCCCACGAGGAGGGCGAGGTGAGCGCAGCACACGGAGAGGGGACGGGCAGGGGTGCCCACGCGTGTGCGGACCGCCGTGCCCGCCCGCAGCCGTCTGGGGCGCCGGTGCAGGTTCGTTCACGTGCCAGCTTGTACTCCGCCATCGCTGCGTGGGGGAGAGCTACCCGGGAGCAAGAACGGTACGTGTCCCGGGTTGGTTGTAGAGGACCCTGCCTACAGCTCTATAGCTCTACAGCCCCAGGTCTGGAAGGCTGCGCACTGAAGTGCCAGCAGCAGCAGTTACCCCGGGTCGTAGAATCGAGGGTGCGTTTCTCTCCTCGGTGCTCAGATGAGGAGTGTTTACGGGGTGTACACACTTACACAGCACCGGGGAGGCTGCAGGTGGGCGGTGACGGGAGGGTTACTAGTGAGTGGGTCACACGCAGCGCCGACCGTCGCGTGGGCGGCCACGTCCGCCGCCGGCTGAGTCCTCCGTGTGGCACAGACCGAACCCCTTGGGGGGTCGTGACCAGGTGGGGACGTGGGCCGTGGAGTAACTACAGGTCACTAGACTTGCCAGTTGTTCTTTTCTTCCAAAACTAACCTGTAAGGAGGCCCGGTCCTGGTGCGGCCGGAGTCGCCCTGGCCCACACGCGTGCCCATGGCAGTGCGGGCCGAGTGCGTCTTCCACGTGACCGAGTGTGCGCACTCTCTCGCCCGCAGGTGGTCGAGTGCGAGGAGGGCAGCGAGGACGACGAGTCCCTCCGGGAGATGGTGGAGCTGGCCGCGCAGAGGCTGTACGAGGCCCTCACGCCCGTTCACTGAGGACCTCGCATGCCCGACACGCCGGGACTTGTGTGCAGCGCCTGCACCTACGTCCGGTACTGGAGGCGAAGCCCCTGGCTCCTCCGGGGCCTGCCTGCGCTGACGCCGCTCCTGGGCACGTGGGCAGGCTCGCAATAAAACCCTGGAAGTCTCTGCATGGCAGCTGAACCGGGTGTCGTGCTGTGCTTTTTCAAGGAGGTGCACGGTGGCTTGTGTTTCGCGCCCACATTCTGAATGTGAGTGACTAATTCAAGGTCGTCGCTTAGAGGTGCGAAGCCCCTTTCCTGTCCCCCCGACACTCTTGCCAAGGTCCTTGGTCTCACACTTGTCAACCTGTGACTCTCGGGACCCGGTGACAGTCTGGGTCTAGTAGTTTCCCGTCCCACCCAGGGGCGCTCGGTGTAATCTTCGGGCTCGCGCTTACGGGTGCGCAGGTGCTGGCTGCGGGATCGTGTCCTACGTGAACTAACCAGCAGCCCCGTTTCCCGAAGCCCCGTGACACGGACTCGCAGGCGCCTGACACAGGCGGGCGTGTCGGGTGCTGTGGCTGAGGGAGCAGGTCGACCCCGCAGGGGTCTCCTGGCGTGTACGTTGATGAAAAGGTCTGACTGTCCCTCTGCAGAGGGGACAGGCATGTGCCCGAGCCAGCCCGTCCCCTCCCAGGCCTCGCTGGAGAGCTGCTGATGTTCCTCGTCGAGCTAAAGACGCTGGTCCCCCCCCCCCCACTGACTCCCCTCGACACTGGAGGCCGAGTTGGCCCCCCTCCTGGTGACGGACAACCTGCATCGTGGACCAAGCCTGCCCTGTGCTTGACCACAGACGTCAGCACGTGGATCTGACTTTTCACGTGAAACAATGAGCACGCACTTCTGTAACGGAGCCGCTTACTCTGCCTCTGGCCCCAGCCCAGGGTCGAAGGGTCACACCATTTGTTTTTGACTCATTATGCCCGGCTGCACCGTGGAGTCACCTGGGGAGCGTTAAACTGACGCCCACGTGTCTCCATCCTGCCTCCAGCTGCTTGGTTTGGAGGGCGGGCCCGTGGCAGCACGCTGTCAAAGCTCCCCAGGAGGCTCTGGTTGATGTCGGAACCGCAGGCCTAAGCACTGGGTGTTGCCCTGCGTCACCCTGCCTGCCTCCCTCTACACGGCCAGCCCAGGGCCGCGCCCGCAGCAGGGGCGTCAGCTTCCCTGCCGTGCACTGCTCCCCAGTTCCTGGTCTCACCTTCATCTCAGGTGTCTCCAGGTGAACCGCTGGCCCGTGTTCCTGGCCGCCACCCTTCACTGCATGGTGGGGCTCACAAGAACTCGCGAGGCTTCTCTCTGACTAGGCCCGCTCCTTGGCCGGCCCCAGACCCGTTCTGGCAACAGTCCTGCTGAGTCAGTCCGTGGGAAGTCCCCCATCCCCATCTGATCCCGGGGGGTGGTCTCGGCCCCAACTCCTCGGCCCCAGCCCTCCACGCCTCACCCGCAGGCGCACCTTCAGTGGACACCCTGCGGGCTCAGTTCCTCCGAGGACTTCCCTGCCTCTGTGACGGTACTTCCCCGGCCCCTCCCCCTGAACCCCACTTTCTTCGCTGTGCTGGCGTGACTCCCGCTTTGCTGTGTGCAGGGAAGTCCATCTGTGTCCCCCGCCGAAGCCCCAGGGCGGTGTCTTCTGAGGCTTCTGCCCTACAGGCCCGCAAGTGGCCTACGTTGTTTTCTAACAGAGGGGGCAAAACCTCATAAATGGTTAAGTTTTTTGACTGTTTGACCAATGAGCCCCTTGGCGATACCGACCCCTGGTTCGGCTGCCAGTCATCAATCGAGAGGCAGGAGCTGATGGAAGAAAAACTCGGTTTATTCAGGAGGCGGCGACTTGGCGAGACAGGGTGCTCTGGCCACGAGGGCCGGCGCTGCTTCAGGGGCGGGGCAGGCAGGGCCGAGGCGGGGGCCGCGGTGGAGCCCACCTCCACCGTGCGGGTTTCCCGAGTGGAAGGGGAGCGGGCCTGGGGCCGCCTCGCCACGAGGTGAGCCCCTGGGACTCCGGCAAAGGGCAGTGTCGCAGCCGCGTGTGAGTCCGCAAGTCACCGTTGTCAGATACACGGGTGCGGGCGAGTCGGGGCTTACACGGGGAGAGCTCCCTGCCCTCCCGCCTTCTCGCTCACTGCCATCTGCTGAAACGCTGGAACCGGCCTGCCCGGAGAGTGGGTGGGGGGCGGGGCGGGGGGTAAAAGGGAGGGACTGAGGGGCTGACCGGCGACGCTGGCCAGGGGACAGGCAGGTGCGACCCTCGGGCCTGGCCTCACGTCTCTGGGGGTCCGTGGGCGCCCCGAGGTCAGGGCGCGGCTGCCACCTAACGATTCGGGACGAACGAGCCACAGCGAACGAATGCGAGAGAGCGAGCTTTTGTGAACGGGGGAATGCGCTTTACAAGAGGCAACAGATACCGCGGCTTTAGAAACGGCTGGAGGCCGCCAGAGGCGCTCTGCCCCGGGAGCCCTAGGGAACCGGGGGTCCGAGACTACACACAGGCAGGACGACGGACTACGCAAGCCCCGCCCCGCCGCTCGCCCCGCCCCCGCCGCTCGCCCCGCCCCGGATATCCGGCCTGATCCCATCCCGGCCTCGGGGCTATGGCGCTTTGCGAGGGGTTGGGCGGCGGCAGCTCTCTGCTCTGGCCTCGGGTGCTGCTCTTCGGAGATTCCATCACCCAGGTACCGCCGCCCGTCCGCGACCCGCCTCTCTCCGAGCGGGTCTCTCAGGCGTCCTCGGCCATGTCCCCGCCCGGAGCCACGGTCCCGGCGTCCCCAGCGACGGCCCGCGTTTCTCCCGTGTCACCCGCTGCCCCGTGCCTGGCGCAGGGCGCCCCGAGGCCAGAGCAGTTGGTACCGCTCACGGCGACCTCAGTGGGCGTCGCGTCCCAGCGCCGCGGGTGTCCGTGGAAAGAGCCCGAGTGGCTCCCGCTTCTCGTTCCCGGCCCCAGGGCGACGGGGTGTGCCCCGCGGCGCGGGGTCCCAGGCTCCTCCAGCCTCGGAGGACAGAGCCCGGGTCCGCCCCCTCCCGCGTGCTTTTCCGGAGGGTTTTGGGAAGCGCCCGGCGCGCGGTCTCCGTGTCTGCGGCGGCGGTTCTTTCCCCCCGCCGGACCTGAGTGGCTCCCGCGCCGTCGGAGCGCAGCGCCTTCCGGGTGGGGTCCAAGGGGCCGGCCCCTCGGCTCCCTCGGGGGCAACAGGCCGAGCCCGAGTACAGTGCTCTCGAGAAGGAAATAGACAGAAGGCCGTGTTTTCATCCAAGATCGTTTCAACTCACGTTAAGGAAAAAAATTGGAAAAAATGTTATTTCAGAGGGAGTACATTTTTAAAAGTTACTCTCCCTTGGTTTTATCTTTATTATTTTTCTAACATTCAGACATATCTTCCCTAAACCCATTTTTTGTGTGTATGCCAATAATTGGTAACAATTTTTAGGCATCTGGGCCTAAGATCCACGGGATCCCCAGAGTCCACGGGAACGGGTATCAAGATGTCCCCCGGGGCCCTGTAATTGTCTTACTGATCCTGGCACCTGTGGGAAGGTGGTCGCACGGGGCTTCGTTTCCTAGCCCAACATACAGCTGGCTTCATCTCTGGTGCAGAGATTTCTTCGCAGCTGTCACAGATAAGGGTGACTAGTGCCGGGCGCCACCCAAGCCTGCGAGGCTGGCTCAAGTCCCGACCGTAGGGAAGGGAACCACCTTCCACTGCCAGAGCGCAGCCGCGGTGCAGGGACCCCAGGTGGCCCTGGGCAAAGCGCAGGTGCAGGCCAGGGCCAGGAGCGCCCGGGGAACAGCCCGGGAATTGCTGACCGAGATGCCCCTTGTTTACCAAAATGCCCTGGTCACCGGACGAGTACTAACCGGCTTTTCTTTCTGCAGTTTTCTTTCCAGCAGGGTGGATGGGGCGCGTCCCTGGCTGACAAGCTGGTCAGGTGAGTTCAGTCCGGCCGGTCCCCGTGTGCTTGGTGATGGAGAGTGACGGGCACTCCCCACCCAGCTTCGCCGCTGCATCCTAGTCAGAATGGGGGTGCTGGGAAGGAGGGGGGCCCTGGGGGTTCGGGAACAAGGACTTCCGCCTCCTTGTGAAAGCAAACCCTGTACGTTGTGACCAACGCGCCAAGGGTTTGGGTCCAAAGAACTCAGCTGTTCACCATGGAAAGGCGACAAGTTCTTTTTCCATTATTATGACAGGTATGAGTTAAATGATTAGCAAGTTCAATTTTAAGAAAGAATGTATTCTTAACCCAGAGTTTGGATAGAAGTTTTTTCCTCCAAAATTCTTTATAAAATACATCAGAAATAGTGATGATTTTGGTACTTTGTTTGTCAAACTTAAGTGTATGCTGAGGAGTTCACTCACAGGGAAACAGGGTCCCAATTCAAGACGTTAAAATAAATATTTAGAAGTATTTTCCGTGTTAAAAACAGCAGACACGAGTATCTGGGGTGTCGGTAAGCTGTTGGCGGGAGCCGTGTCTGCTCCCTCAGGAGGAACAAGCCACGAGCTGCCAGCTTTCGTGTCAGTGTAACTAACACACCGAGAAGATACACTTTATTTCTAAATGTGAAAGGTGTTTTTAAAAGCCCTCACTTTCTCCTTTTATTTTTATCCCCTAAACTAGAAAAAGAAAAATTGACCCTCCAGCTTTTTCTATTCCTAAACGCTTTCTCTTTTTCAGCGGACTTAACCTAAACACGTGCAGGTGCGTCGTTCCATCCCTCAACTTTCCCGTCTGTGGAGTGGGGCGGGGCGGGGCTGCAGTAGCCACGTGGTGGGCGTGCACCAGGTGCCCGAGGCTGTTTAAACCACCGTCTCGATCTCACCTGTGCAACTACTCACAACACGGAGCGGTTTTGTTCTTCTCCTGCCCGCGTCACAGCTGACGACAATGAGGTGGAGAGGGCGAAGGACAAGGCCACACCACTGGGGTGGGCACGCGGCGGGGCCCCGGGGCGCCTGCTCCGGTGCTGGGCGGCCGAGTCGGCACACCTGGGCTCACTCAGGTGCCTAGAGCATGGCAGTGCTTTTCCGTAACCCGGTACCTTCAGTCAGTCCGTTAACCTCTTCTGGACAAAGAGAAGGTGGTGTTGAAAAATTGATGTATTAATTGTTCAAATGGCCTGAAAAGCTGCAGGAATTTAAAATGTTTAATGCAACATTTTAAGTGTTTAATTTCATATTAACTGCTTCACGGTTGATTTTAGCACTGACAGCTTGTCAGAGTTGATAGGGTGCAGGTGTGAGTTCTGGGCGACCACTGGGTTAGCTGGCTCTGTGGAACGGAGAGTAATCACAGGAGAGGACAGAGTTGGGGACAGCGCGTGGTCCCTCGTGCCTTGTTCTGGAGCTTCGCAGCAGCACCTGTTGTGCTGCGGAAACAGCACTGCTGGCCCTGGCCACGGAGAAGGCCTCCCCGTGCCCTCCCCTGCTCTGAGGTGCCCCAGTGCAGCCAGGGGCAGCAGCCAGGCCGGGGGCCGGACTCTGGCGCCCTGCACCCGAGTCCTTCAGCCAGGCAGCCCTCTGGAGAAACGAGGAGGCTGTTGGGGCCGAAGGGCGACGTCCTGGGGGTGCTGCCGGGGCGACTGGGTGGGAGCTGTCACCTGCCGTCTCTGCTGAGGGGCTGAACAATTCAGTGCTCCTTCCTCTTTAGCCCCAGAGCTGATACTTATTTCTGTTCCACGCCAAACCGCCCTTCTGGTGGGCACACCTGGTCTGGAGCCACGGCAGACCTGGGCCCCTAAGGCCTGCTTCAGCCATCGGGCCGTCGGCACAGCCCTGGCCGGTCGGTTTCAGTGTAGCCTAGTCACCACGCCTGAGGGTTATCCAGACGCCCCGGCCGCCCTCCCGTCCTGCCCGAGTGGCTGGGAGTACATTTGAAGTGCATGGTTGTGCCCATAGTGATGTCTTTGTTTACATTCAGGTAAGATCTTTGTTCGTTACAAAAGCATTTTAACAATTCTTAAATCCATTAAACCTCTGAGAATGTATTGGTTGTAGGAATTTGAACCACAGTGAACCACATTAATTGGCTAATCACCAATCGAAATCTAAGGTTTATTTCTGAAACAGCCTTTTACCGTGGATGACGCCCAGGCCCCGGGGTCGGGGTGGGGCTTCAGCGGCCACGCGGCCCGGTCGTGGGCGTTTAGGGGGAGGCGGTGCCTGTTAACTCCCTGGGTTAAGCTGAAACACACCTACCGTGCTCACTAAAATGATTTAATCGAAGCCAAACGATGGGGTGACGCTGCCGGGTGGAAGGAGGGTCACCCCCGTAACCTGTGTTCCGCCCTGGTGGGGGCGGGCGCTCTACCTTCCACCCAGTTTTTTGTGGTGGTGGTTTTTTTTCAGTGTTTTTTTAGTCTCTTGGGTTTTATTGTGATCTTTTACTCAGCGCTGCTGTAAATCTTAAACTCTAAGAAAGCAGTCTATAAAAAAGTCTTAAATACTCTGTGCAGGTATTCCAGTAAGCCACCGTTACATTTGAAGTCCAGTTTATTAGTGATTTTTTTATCTGATTCTTGCTCAGATGAATGCCTCCCCGCAGTGAACTCCACTTGAAATTCCCTTTTATTGACTTGAGGAGGAGGACACATCGACTCGTTCCGCCCATCTGGGTGGTGTGGGGTTGATTCTAGCGAGCGCCCTGCCCAGGGTCGCACCCGAAACCTCGGCGTGTGGGGGCGGCACTGGGAGCGGCTGAGCTGCCGGCCAGGCCTGCAGACGCCCTGTTCAGAGCGCCCCGCTCTGCCGTGCGAGGACCCAGCTGGTCTGCGGGCTGGGCCGTGCCCTTTCCCCGAGGCTGTCCGTCACTGTCCGGCCGTGCCGGCTCACCCCTGCCTGGGCGCGACCTGCGAGCGGCGTGCGTGGCTGTGCGGCCGTGGTGACCAGAGGGGATGCGGGCGGCCTGAGCCCTGCGCGCACGCCCCCGAGAGAGGCCGGCTGCGGGGTGGGGACAGTCGTGTCTGCACTTCATCCTCGAAATCTCCTCCTCGCAGGAAATGTGACGTTCTGAACCGCGGGTTTTCGGGCTACAACACTAGATGGGCCAAAATCATCCTCCCGAGACTCGTCAGGAAGGGGAGCGTCCTGGACAGCCCGGTGGCCGTCACGGTTTTCTTCGGGGCCAATGACAGCGCGCTGAAAGGTAGGGGCGGCTGTGCTCACCGCCTTCCTCCTCGCGGGACAGCGGGCGCCGTCGCGTGCTCTGCTCCCCCGGCTCCGGACCCACGGAGTTTCCTGAGTGCCCACGCACACGACATCCCCCGCCTGCCGCGCGGGGAGCTCTGTTCCCGCCCTCCTTTCTGCACTCCGGGGGGCAGACCCGGTTTCAGGCCCTGACAGTCGGTCCGGAGTCGGGGCGGGGGCGCTGTGCTCTGCCCAGCCAGCCTGGCCTCCCGATGGAGCCGGGGGTGGGGGGCTCAGGCGTGCGCCCCGCACAGCAGTCACACTGATGAGAGCAGCTCGGGGGCAGCCCCACCCCAGGTGCGGCCTGCGACCCTGGGTGACAGCAGCTGGTCCGAAGGACTGCTGCTGTGCCAGGCCGCGGCCTCTGTCGCTCCCTCTGGGGGCGGCAGCAGCACCTCCGCGTGGCGAGGAGTCAGCCTGGATGGGGTGGGTGGGGCGGTCGCCTGGCAGAGGTTCCTCCAGGGCGGCAGTGGCCTTTTCCTGCTGCCCGTGGGCGCCCCAGGGACGTCTCGGGTGAAGCCTGGGCAGGGGGCCAGCTGCCTGTGCGTGGCAGCAGGCTCGTCGTGGTTGCAGCACCAGTGGGGGCTGCCAGCCAGCTACGTGGGTTCAAGTGAGGTCATTTCTGCATGTCTCCGTGTAGAGTTTCTCTTCAGTGGTGATGTTTTACCAGATTTAGGACAGGGCGAAAATGCTTTCTAAGCACAAAAGCAATGGAGGAAATTGCAAAGGAAGAAAATATTTTGTGAAATAAAATAGTTTGTCTAAAAAACAATTTTTAAAAAATGACACAAGGAAAATAGTTCCAAAAATATGGTAGACAAAAGGTTGATGTCTTTCATGAAATCAAGAGAAATATTAACTCCAATAGAATAATGGGCAAAGGCAGGAATAGGCAATTCACAAAGGAGAAGTTAAACAAATACATGTTTTAAAATGTACGAAAACTTGTTCCCCCCAAAATGCAAACCAGCACATGGAACTTTGGGTTTTGACCCAAACACGACAGTGGTGTAAGCAGCGAGCCTCACAGCGCTCTCTCCGAGTTCCCGGCGGGCGGGCACGCCCGTGCCTTCCAGACAGCTCTCCGGGGCCCTGGACTGCAGCCCAGTGGGTCTCCTGTCACAGCAAAACCCGGGGGTGCTGCACGGCCCGTGTGGCCGCCTTACCAGTACGTCCGTGCTTTTGAGGACTACTGAAGGAAACATGCGTGTGACATGGTGTGAAAAAAGCATGTGGCGGCGTATCTTCACTGGGACCCCCTCTGAGAAACAGCACCGCTGTGGGGGAGACAGGAAGGACGAGCGTGGAGGCGCCTGCTGGGTTCTAGGCGGTGGGGGACCGTGGGGGCTGGTTTTCTGTCGCCGCACACTCGTGTAGTCTGCAGGGGGCTCTGGGCCGCCCGGGGGAGCCCACCTGGAGTCGGCCCTTGTGGCCGTGGCAGCAGCGGCAGCACGAGGTGACCGAGTGCCCCACGGGGCGGGCACCTCGCCCTCAGTGCTGCGCACACCGGGCTGACCTAACTCGCAGACACCGGCGAGGCGGACCCTGCTCTCTCCCCACCAGGGAGAGACGGGACAGGTCCGGGGAGGCTGAGCCCTTGTCTGGGGGCGTGTGGCTGCACGGTGGCCGAGCGGGATGGGCCCAGCCGGCACCCCACAGCACCCCTCCTCCACCCGTCCAGCCCGACTGCGAACCACGTGGTCACAAGAGGAGGGACACAGCACCAGAGCCTTGGGGGTGGTTTCGTGATGAAGGCCTGTGTCCTTGCGCCCTTCCCCTCCTCCGGCCTGGGTGCTGCACAGTTGCCCACTGACGACGTGGCGAGTCGTGGGCACCTGAACGAGCATTCACCTTACCCGCCCCTTGAACTGGAGGTGTCCGTGTCGCCCCGACAGACGAGAACCCCAAGCAGCACATCCCCCTGGACGAGTACGCGGCGAACCTGCGGAGCATGGTGCAGTACCTGCGGTCCGTGGACGTGCCCGCCAGCAGGGTCATCCTCATCACGCCGCCCCCGCTCTGCGAGGCCGCGTGGGAAAAGGAGTGCCTCGCGCAAGGTGAGCCGCCGCCGGGGGAGCGGGGGAGCGCGGAGGAGAACGGGGGCGCGTGCCGTCCGGCCCCTGCGCGCCGCCTCCTGGGGCGTGTCCGTCCGCACTGGCCTGTGTGTGCGGTCAAGCTGAGGGGTGGACGTACAGCTGCCGCGGAAGCGAACCGAGAACCTGCGGCACTGAAGTCGGAGCCTCGCTTGGATTCTCCGCCGCGTGCCTTCCGGACTCCAGGGTGCACGTGGAGCCGCCGAGGGCCGAGCAGGCGCTGAGCGGGCGTCTCCGGACTGACGGCGGCTTTCCACGCGGGGCGGGGGCGGGGAGGCTCGGCGCCTTCCCACTGAGGTCGCGGCTGGGGGGTTCTCCCGACCCCCCCGGTAGTGGGCGGTGCCTGCCGCAGGCGGCCCCACCCGTTCCGGTCCGTGCGGCCCTCTGTCCGTCTGCCACCCCCGACTGACGCCTCCCTCCAGGGGGCGGAGCGCCCCTTCCCCCACAACGGGCGGCTCTGCAGGCGCCGGCCCCAGGCTTCTGCCCCGCCCCCGGGTCATGTGTGCCCCTCCGTGCGCTGCGCCGGGGCCCTGGCCAGGGGCTCCGGGTACAGAAGCGACTGGGACCTGGGTCCTGCCTGCTGGGCTGGGGAGGGAGACGGTCAGGTGGGTGGGGGTTTGCGGCGACATGGCGAAGGGGCCGGTGAAGGTCTGTTGAGAGCGCAGGAGCAGGACCTGTGACGTCAGGGGGCCCCGCCCCCCAGCCGAGGAGGACGGGAGCGCCCTGGAGAGAGCGGGAGGCGGGCGCGGAGTGGGGCCACCGCCTCGGGCCGCAGGTCCTCTGCTGCAGGAAGTGCCCTTGCTGAGACTGGGGGCCGGCCCCAGGGGCGCAGCGGGTGCCTCCCGGGCTGCGGCTCCCGGCCCTGCGTGCTCACATGGTCGTCCGTTCCGGCAAACGTGTTTTAAGGGGGATGCGGTAGGGAGAAGTCGGTGTCTAGATCACAGCAGGCACTGTCACGAGATTTCACTTCCGCGGGTGGGTGCACTGAGTCCTGGTGTCACGCACATTTTTTACTTCCGTTTCCAGCAGCCAGGCTCGGCAGCTACCGGGCGTGGTTCTAGTGTGGTCTGAGACTAGCGGCTCGGCATCCCCTGGGAACTCGAGCCCCCCCGCTGAGTCCGAGCCCCAGGTGGAGCCCTCGGGTTCGAGCCCCGCCACGTCGGACTGGGCCAGCCAACTAGGACCCACGGGCTGCCAGGGAATCTGCTGGGAGACCACTGGCTCACAGACTGTGGCCACCTCTGAGCGACACTGGCAGGGCTGACTCGCCGCCAACACAGACGGTGTGCTTGCAAAAAGAATCGGCCGCCTGGTGGTGGGTGCGCTCCCTTCCGGCCGCTCCCTTCTCTGGTGGACCATCTGCAGTGATTTCTCCACGACGCTGCAGTAGCTCCTGGTCCCGTGTAAAGGTCTCGGGGTCTCACCATAGCTTTCCGCTGTAATGTCCACTGGCCTGGCCTCTCCGGCTTGGGACCTCCGTCCAGGGTCCTCGGGAGGCCATGGTGAGCCCTGGCCTGTGCTCGGTAGCGCCAGTGAGGCCCGGCCTTGTGCTGTCCCCAGGCCCCCAGCTGACCCCACCGGTCCGTAAGTCCAGGCCTGTTGACGGGACTGAGAAACCGTCCGGGTCAGAAGCAGCACAAGGCCCAGGACTTGGGTCGGGCAGTTGTCACGCAGATTCTCTGTCCTCCACAGGCTGCAAGTTAAACCGCCTGAACATGGTGGTTGGCGAGTACGCCAGCGCCTGCTTACACGTAGCCCGGGACTGCGGGACGGACGCGCTGGACCTGTGGGCCCTGATGCAGAAGGATGGCCAGGTACAGCGGCTCGCTCGGTCCCGTGGGTGAGCAGGGTGCCGCGGCAGTGGCCGAGCAGGCCAGACAGCCGTCCCTCTCACCGCTGGGAAAGCAGGGGCAGAGAGGAGGAGTGGGGAGGCCCTGGGGCAGCTCGCAAACCTGCTGGGCTCGGCTCCCCCTGCCGCGGGCCCCCACCGGTCAGGGCCGCACACGGGGACGAGAGGGGCCGCGAGCAGTCCCGTGTGAGGGCGCCCAGGCCCAGTTCCTTCACAGCGGCGTGCGGGGAAGTTAAAGCTCGCTACGGGCAAGACAGGGAGTTTAAGTAGAATGTGGTGTCAGCTGAGGTTTGTGTGGTGAGATAAGTAGCTCCAATTACCGTTTTTAAATCAGAAAGCCCCCTTCCAAACAGAAGGGGAAGAGGAACAACACGCAGAACCACAGGAGAGCCCCTCGTGAGAACAGCCCCTGGGACAGACACACTCACTCGGGCCCTGGCTGTCCACTCCCGGGGCGCGCACAGGGGACACGGGTCCCCCTCGGGAACCAGGACCCGGGAGCCGCCGCCGAGTGCAGCGGGTGCAGCACCCAGAGCTCCGAGTCCGTCTGCGGGCAGATTGGGGAAGCTGCGCCCCACTGGGCCCACGGCTGTCCCCCAGCCCCCTGCAGCTTCCGGGCAGAAGGTGCTGGGACTGAGGGGCCGTCCTTGGAGGTCGTCTGAGCCAACGGCCTGAAGTGCCGTGAGAGGCGGCCCGGAGCCCTGGTCTGAGTCGGAGCTACCGTGCTGCCCGGGCTCTGACACGGGGTCGGGGCTGGAGCTGCGGGAAAGGCCTGCACCCACCCATCCCCATGGAGAAAGGGCGCCAAGGACCTGGGCGCGGGGACCGACTCCCGCAGTCACTGTCCCAGCCCGGGCGGTGGCCTAGTCCTTTGTTCCCAGTAACCTGCCTGTCACTGTAATACCCGGACCAGAGGCAAAAGGGCCCCTTCACAGCAGCCAGGCACCTGCTGTCTGTTCCAGTCTGTGGTGTTAATGCACCTCTATGGTGTTAATGTGCATGCTTGCCAGCCGAGCGCCTTCCTGGAGCTGCTGCCCCGAGAGGGCGTCTCCGCCCAGGCCCTCAGGACTGGAGGCCACCCTCCACACGCAGGGCTCCCGGGCACACAACCGGACCAGCTGGCAGCGGGGCGCTGAGGCGGGCGCTGCGCCCGCCATGAACCGAGTCCCCTCTCCCCTTGACAGGACTTTTCATCCTATCTGTCGGACGGACTGCATCTCTCACCGAAGGGAAACGAGTTTCTGTTCTCCCACCTCTGGCCCCTGGTCGAGAAGAAAGTCTCCTCCCTGCCGCTGCTGCTCCCCTACTGGCGGGACGTCGCCGAGGCCAAGCCCGAGCTCAGTCTCCTTGGTGACGGGGACCACTAGGCGCAGGAGGGGAAGGCTGCGACGCTGCGGAACGAGACGTCCCCACGCACCAGAACCCAGGACAACTGACCGACCACGTACTTTTTTCTCAAGCTTAAGCCTTTGCTCACGACCCTGGAACCAAACCACCGCCGTGGGAAACCACGGTTAATAAAAGCACTGTCCCGAGCTGGGTGTGTGGTGCTCAGTCTGCTGGTCGCCGCAGCCACACACACACGCCCTGAGCCGCCTGCTGATGCCACGAAAGGAGAAAAGGTACAGACGGTTCCGCTTTTTAAAAAGTTAATTTTATAAAAAATGATTTCCTTACGTTCAGCTGGGAACTGCTTCACTCTCAGACATACACCACACACCTTACATCGGATTCCAAATGTAACTAAAGTACAAGAATATCATCGTAACTAGTTAAAAGACAGCAAATACCACAAGGTACAAGTTCAAGTATTAGTGTAACAGGTATCTGCGTAACAAACATCCTTAAAGAAAAGAGACGCCATTTGTCACAGGTTTGGTGAATTGCCCTTGAAGTTTGTAAGTTACCTCATTTAAAACGTGTTGGCTGGTGAGCACGTGTCGGGACTTGGGGGGGGAGGTTTTAACTAGAAGTTCAAGGAAATCAGAATCCCATCTGATGACTCACCCTGCACAAAGTGAGCACACACCGTCCAGAACCCCCGAGGCAGGAAACAGCGCGGCTGGCCGCCCGCAGGCCCACACCAGGGGTGTTTTGGACGCGCTCGTGTGCAGTTAGAGCCGAGGGAGGCGGCGCCGCCCTCCTGCCCACTGACCACCACCGGTCCTCATGGCCAGAAAGAGCTCACGTACCCCCTGGGCCCCTAGTGTTTAAAACAGGTGGCTGTGCTCTTACTCTGAAGTAGTTTAGGATTTGTGAGTTTTTAAGCAACAGTATTAGAAATACACGAAGATACTTAAAAAACAAACTGTGTCGCAAGTTAGGGCCCTAAAGAATGGGCAGGACTCTGTAATTTGGCTGGCCACTATTTGGGACTCTCACTGTAAACTGGAGGGACTTAATCTAGAAATAACCTTAGAATTCTACAGAAACATTAACGCAAATTATTTCTAAGTGCAGATGTGTCATTCTCCCTGCCGGTGGGAACTGAGTAACACCTAGAAACAGAACCTCCGCTTGGGGGAGAACATACACCTCGTTTTCTCTGTCTTGTCTTGAAGGCCAAAGAATAAATTACGCTGCGTCCCGGCTGTCCTCACGGGTAACCGCCCGGTGCCCCCATCCCCCTTCCACGGCAGGAAAAGAGAACCGGCGCCTCCCCGCTCAGCACTGGCACCAGCACAAAAGGTCAATTTACAAAAACGTAAATACTTCAGCATGATCCAGCTGTGTGTTCTGCTTTTGCACCACAGGTTGGAGGATATTTTAAACAACAAAAACACTAAAACCTGACTGACAGCCTCCCAACGAGCCAGACTCACCTCACCTGTCCACACGGGAAAGGGCCCAACCCCGCAAGTGTGTGCGCAAGGCAATCCACACACACGACGAGCACCTGCTGGAAGTCACGTCCTTGTTCCTCCCAGACCTTCACAGAAACCTGTGAGTGGTTTAGGTCAAATCTGTAGAAACGCCCTGCACACTCAGGTAGGTCGGAGAACTCGGGGCGCTGCCCCCGAGGCTAGCACTCGGTTTCCTTGCTGTCCACGCGATTCTGCCGCTGCAGCTTGAACGACGAGGCCTTCTCGCTCCGGGTGACCGGGTGGCCCGTGAGGTCCTCAAAGGACTTGGCGGCCGTGCTGCTGCTGGGGAATGGGTCCTTCTCAAGGCCGTCCTCGTCTGCGTGCGAGTCCGTGCTGGGATCCTCCTGGATCGTGTCCATCCGCTGGTGGTCCAGTTTCGGGGCCGTGGGCACCAGGGGCAGCACGGGGACCGCCTGCAGCGGCTGCAGGCGGCCAGGGGTCTGCGGCCCCGGGAAGGGCTTGATGATGCGCACCGACGCCGAGTCCATGCTGCTGAGCATTTCCACGTTCTGGAAAGACGGGAGGAGGTCAGCAGTGTCCCGCAGCCCCGGCTCAGCACCCGGCGGCCTTCCCGGAAGCACCTGGGTCCCTCCCACCGAGGGTAAACGCCCTCAACCCAGCAGTGACTGGGAGGCTCGCTTTCCAGTGGCCTGAAACCTGACCAATTAAAGGCTCAACAGAGAACTTGTAACAATTCTATCAAATTCAGACCTCAAGAAAAGACCTCAAAATGCTAAGTCAGCGCTGCAGAGCTCAGGCGCAGGCAGCTGTGGGGGGGGGGGCGGAGCGGCACCTTCTGTCTGTGTCTCCCTCCACCTCCCATGTTGTCCCTGGACTTGACCCCCACCCCACCGACCCTGTCTGTTGCAACGGGAGTCCCCTCCAGCAGCCACGGGGAGAGGCAGCTGGGACTGTACGGGAGGGCGTAGCGAGGTCCCCCGTGCAGCTGAGAACGACGTTCTCACGGCGTCCTTACCACACTGGGGTGAAACAGCGACAGAGACTCGTACTGCTTGTCCAGTTTCTTGTCCTAGGAAGGGGAGAACAGGGAGCGGTTCCCACACACGAGACTCAGTTACGTGCTCATTCCCCACAGGCTCCTCCTGACACGGGGAGGGTAACTGAGGAGTCTCAGAGCACGGTCTGCGCAGGGAAGGACCCGTGTTTTCTGGTGGGCAGGAGGCTCCCAAGGGCACCACCTCCTTGACGTCCAGGCCCGGCCTGTGCCAGAGCGGCTCTGGCCACAGCCGCAGGTGGACGGCCAGGGGGCTGGGCCTCAGTGCCCAGCGCACCACAGCCTTAATGTCCTCAGCTGTCTCCAGGGTCCTGTGGCCCCAACTCCTCGCGGAACTGGGCCTCCTCACCGACACCCTACTCTGGCAAAAGCCTGAACACAGGGTTCCACCCACTACCCCACGTCCCCGCCTGGGGTGACACACCCGTGACGACAGGCACCAGGCAGGAGGCTGAGCCCGCGAACCGAGGCCTGGCCTCCAGCCCAGCAGCCCTGGAGGAGCTCTGCGGTCGGAAGGAAGCCGGCCCTCCCTCCTCACGGCGGCTTTGCTTGGAAACCAGGGATCAGGCCTCACGGTGCAGCAGTGTAACTTTCACTGCTAACGAGGTAGGTTTCACGCAAGTGAGGGCACCCACAACGGAGGGCACGGTTGTCCCTCTGCCAAGGCCACCCCTGTCCCCTGCAGAGACAGCGCTGCTTTGGCCCAACTGCTTGCTCCGAGTCCCCCCCCCGGCCCATCAGGCTCAGTGCCCGGAGGAAGGGCACCTCGGGGCCCCACCCTGGCCGGAGAAGCCAGCCGTGAACATTCGTGCAAGTGAGCTGGGCCGGGATTTTCCACACGCCCCGTGGGGGCCCTGCAGGAGGGTCAGTCCACGCGGAAGCCCCGGTCTGACGACCTCGTCTGCAGAAGACGAGCCCTCACGTCCGGAGAAGCGAGCGAACAGGTCTGTAAGGGCGGTTTTGAAACACAGCCCCGAGATGATGAAGTACCTGGGGTTCCCCAGACACAACCCAGTTCCACGTGCCAGCTGGTGCTCATTTGAACGAGAGCGAAACAGCTCGCTCCCACCGGCCGGAAGGGCCATCATGGCGGTGACGCCAGGACGTGGACAGTGCAGGGCACCGCCAGAGGGCCCGGCCACCGGCGCCCCGGGCTCAGATCACCTGACTCCTCAGGAACCACACGAGCGCAAAGCACCCAGAGAGGGAGATTCTTCACGAGACTGTCAGCTGAGCTCCTGACAAGACACGCCTTCCCAGACACAGCACCCAGAGCCGTCCCTGGAAACGCCCGATTCTGCTGAGAATCAGCCATCTCTCCTGAAGAGCCCGTGACTGGAGCGGCTGCAGCGTCACTGAGAGAACGCCCTGCGTGCCCCAGGAAGGGCGACTCACCACGCAGTGGACGAGCACGCTGAGAGGGACCCACACGACCAGGGAGAAGACCAGGACGGAGCCGACGATGTTGTCTGCCAGGAACTTCCCTGCGGACGAGCGAGAGCCCTAGCGTCGTGATCAGGCTCTTCGCCAGTCTGAATCTCGGGGCGCTCAGGGCATCGCCACTGGGACAGGTGGCACAGGCTGGCGGCCATGGCGCCCGCCCCCGTGAGGCTCCACGTGCCCCGCCCAGAACACGCCCCAGCGGCACACGGGCGGCAGCTCCCGGCAGGTCCCTGGGGCAGGGGTGGGTGGGGGCGTTGGACAGAAGGCTGCTGGTACCCATGCTTATGACGACAGTGTTGCTCTCTGGGGTCGACTTCTGTGGCTCAACTCTCACCTCTGGGCCCCAGAGGACAGAACACCTCCTGCTTCCGCAGACCCGGAGGCCCATTTGTAACGGAAGTTCTGCACCAACCAGGGTGCAGACTCACCCGCGGCAAGACCGAACCACGTGGCACTGCCGCCAGCTCCCTGTCTTGGTGGGGACGGAAGCGCGCACTCGGGGGAAGTGCCGACTCCCCCGTCTGAGGGCTGCGTCCACACCGCACGGCGAGCGTCTCCACCGTCCGCCCCGCGGTCGGAGCGCAGGAGCGCGAAGCCGCACTTTCCAAACGTCACCGCGGAGACCGCCCCGCTCTAGGCGGACCAGCGCCCGGGGAGACCGCCTACCGAAAGTGTTGATGCTCAGCTGGTCGATGAAGTCCCAGAAGCGCTCGATGACGTCCTGCACCCGCTTCTCACACTTGCCCTGTGGACGGAGAACAGCGTCATCCCCAGGAGAACCCCCAGGGGGCAGAAATCGAGAAAGCCAGTCTGCTAGAGACAGCGCCCCGTGAAGACGCGTCGGCCGGCCGACCGCGCCCCCAGGGAGCGCAGCCGGGCCGCCTGGGGAACACTCGCGCGCACCGCCCCCGTCCAGGTCCCGCACGGAGGAAACCCTGTCTGGGCAGAACAGAGGGTCTGACTTTGGTGGGTCAAATGCTTCTAGATTTTTCCTACTCGCTCAGCACCTGCTTTAAAATAGAAACTTACATTTCTGCTATTTGATCAATTTTAGAATTAACCTAGAAAACCAAATAATCAGGACCCTCCGCCCCAAACCAGCCAACTCTACCAAAGCCCCCCCACCCCCGCCGGTGTCTGGACTCAGGTCCTGCTCTGGGGCGAGCGTGCTGGAGGGCCCGACTGATGCCCGCGGGGCGGGCCCACACGCCTCCTACCGCCCCCGACGGACCCCCACACGAGGGCGGGGGGGGGGGCACGTGGCGTCTGCACTTTGGTTTCCCTCTGGGGGCAAAGCCGAGCCTTCACAACATCACGACCACCGCCCCCCCCCCCGCCAGGCACGCAGACAGCAGCCGTGGGAGAGGAGGACACACTCACGTTCACGTCGCAGAACCCCACGGTGCAGGGCTTCCCCTTCCTCAGGAACAGGTTCCTCTGCTCGGCGTCCACGTAGGGCACGCAGCGGCCCGCGGGGTCCCGGCAGCACACCTTGCACGAGTTGTCTGTCTCTGAAAAGGGCGGGCGGCTGCCTTTCCCTGGAGACTCGGCCGTCCCTCCCTGCGCGACGTCCCCCGCCCCCATCGTGCCCCACGGGGGAAGGAGAGCACTCACTCCTTACTGCCGGAGCTAACACGACCCCCATCCCGCCCCTCGAGACAGCACTTCTGAGTGCACCTCCTCAGTCCCAAGTGGAGGCCGCGAGGTGGGAAATAACTGCTCAGAAACGTTTCCTTTCTCCGCTGGAGCAAAACCAGACCACTCCCCCTCCAGTCCGTCATGCAGGACGCTGCCACCCTCTGTCCCGACACGACCACACGCCGCCTTCCACCCCGGCCCCGGTGGGTCTAGGACACCCCAGAAGCGAGGGCTGCAGACAGAGATGCCATCCGGTGGGTGTGGCCCTGAGTGCCCAGGACAGGGGTCCACCCACAGGGGACTGCACCCACACGGACAGCAGACACGCCCAGGAAGTCAGCTGGCAGGTAACTCAGGACAGACTTCCTCCAGGCAGGTCGGCATTTACAGTCGCCGAGACCGAGGACACCAAGAGCGGAAGCCGCTTCGGAGGGAAACCAGGCTTTGTCGCGTCGGTCACACGTTTCCGGGGCCCTCACCGCGTGTCCTTTCGGGTCCCCTAAGCCTCCTGCCACTTGCTCTACAGTGTCTGCTCAGCACGGGCCGCGTCCCCGTGCTCCTCTGCACAGCCCTCCACCTGGAGGGACCCCGGCTCCGTCGTGAAGGCTGCTCTTGGGGAACCAGCAGACCTCCCTCTGGGCTGGGGCGGCAGCTCGGACCCGTCGGTCCCTGAGGCCCCCCCTCAGACCCAGGGGCTCCCAGAGAACCACGGACACCTGAGGACCAGCGTCTGAGAGGCCAGCACCGCATCACCGCCCATTACTAAGTGCAGCCCCCGGGCAGGCGGCAGAGGGCAGCCCGCCGCTGGCGGCGGGCATCCTGAGATGGGTGAGTCCTGGCATCGGCTCTCTCGGGTGAAGTCTTAAAGGAGCCGCACCGTTCAAGGCCAACAGGACCAGGCAGCTTACTGCCGCTGTCAGCGTGTGGGGGAACGTGGGGGAGGGGCGGCATCGACAGACCTCCACCCACCCATCACCTACAAAGCTCCCTCCTAGCCGGCCCCACGCCGGCCACAGGGTCTGAGAACGTGGCAAGAAGTGAGACTAGTCCGACCGCTTCTGCAGACAAGGTGGAGGAGCCAGGGCCTGAGCCCAGAGGCCGGCCGGCCTCCACCAGCCCTGCACCCTGGCGGCAGGGAGCGGCGGGCACCTCGGGGCCCCCGAGGGGAGGGCCTCGGGGGGCCACGCGCTCACCATTGCACGCGCAGGACTCCAGCTGCTGCTCCCTCTCGCAGAAGGGGATGCACTTCCCGTCCTTGCACTTGCCCAGGTCCAAGCACACGGTGTCGTCCTCGGCGTTCCCGGGAGGGGGGCACTCGCTGCTGTTACCTGGAAGTAGCAGCAAGCAGACACCCATAAGGCACGGCCCCTGGGTCCCCAGGGCGCACCTGTCCCGATAGGGAGGAGCCCTGGCCTCGCAGGACGGCATGCCCGGCCCTCAGAGGGTCCCAAATGTCCACACCCACCTCACGCCTGCCATGCGGTGCGCCTCTCTCACACAGGTAAACATGCACACGTGCCGTGGCCACCAGTAAAACCACACCAGGGCCACGGCAGGGGCTACACGCAAACGTCCTGTGGCGGCCACGTCCCAGGACAGCCGCCGCCTCCCTCCAAGGCCTGTCCCACCTCAGGGCTCTGGCCGTGCCGGTCCCTCGTCCCCAGTCTTCTAGGGGGACTGGACAGCTGGTGTCACCCCTGAGCTGTTGCCTCCCAGACCCCCACGACCTGCCTGGGTCCCCTCGCCCCCCCACGCCCCACCCCACACACCTCTCTCCTGCTGGGGGCGGTTTCTGATGCCCGTTTCTCTGGCCGACCCCTGTTCTCTCCGGACACCCCCCCGCCCCGCCCCAGCGGCTGTGCTCCCCGGCAGCGCGGGCCTGACCTGCTACGCAGGACTCAGCCTGCGTCCAGCCCTGCCCCCTGCACGTGCCCCGTCCATGTGTCCTGAGTGAGTCAGGGAGTCCGAGGACAAAGGAGAGTCATCGAAGGATGTTCCACTCGGGAGAGAGGACGGAACGAGTGACTCGTTCTGGAAGACGCGCGGCACAAGCAGGTAACAGCCAGCGGGAGAGCAGAGGAAAAGCCGCGACGAGAACAGTGCAGTGCGCCGAGCTGGGGCGGCGGGGGGCGTGGCCTCTCCGCTGAGGGATGGAGCCAAGCCCAAGGTCTCGACCTTGAGGTCTGTGGGGCCCGCGGCGGCGGCGCAAAGCCTTCTGGTGGGGCCCCGCAAACCACGCCCCGCGGGGCTGCACAGCCGCCTCCGGTCTGCAAGGCCCCTCGCACCGGGGTGCTCCCTCCCTGGGCCTCCGAGACTCTCATTCAACAGCCGGCCGCGACTGACGGCGAGCCCCGTGCACACAGGGCAGTGAGGGTCTGCACTCCCCTGCGCCTGTGCTCTCGGCGCGAGACGCTGCCCCCCCGACGCACGCACAAGGCCCCGTGGGTACCCGTTACTTCTGGTCTTGAAAGACGGAACTCAGAGTATCCACTCATGGGGAAAGGACAGCAGCACGGCATCGCCTCTCTCCCGAGGGCCCCTGCGCTCAGGCCCACTAGGGTGACAACCAAAAGAATGGGGGGCAGTAAGTGCTGGCGAGGGCGTGGAGGAACCGCGAGCCCGCGCTCCCCCGGTGGGGGCGGGGGCGACAGCCTGGCAGCGCCCCAGAGATCAGAGAGGGCCGGCACCCCGCCAGCCAGTCCACTCCTGGTCGCACGCACCAGAGCAGTGGGTCCGCGGAGAAACCCGCACTCCAGTGCGCACAGAAGCACTCCCCGTCACAGCCGGGGCGGAGACCACCCCGAGGCCCGCCAGCCGGTGAGTGAGCAGACGCAGCCTGGAGCACAGCCCACGGCGGGCAGGCGGCGTTCAGCGGCAGAAGCGGACGGAGAGCTGGCCCACCCACAACGGGGTGAGCCTGCAGGGCACCCCTCTGAGTGGGAGAAGCCGGTCCCAAAAGGCGGTGCCCCGTGACCCGGCCTGTGCAGAACGTGGGAACAGGCACGCCCACCGAGACGGGGAGTAGGGGAGCTGGGGCCGGGGGAGCGGGGATCTGGGGCGCTGCCTCAAGGGCCCGGAGCTTCTTTCCGAGGCGATGAAACGATCCGAGGCGGGCGGTGGCGGCTGCACAAACGTGAATCCACTGACACACCCTGACCTGCACACCCTGCACGGATGCACACTGGCGAGGGCTACGGCGTGTCCGAATCTCAATACAGCTACTCACCAACCCACCCAGCCAGAGCTCAAAGTCATGAACACACGGGAATGGGGCGGGCACGCCAGGCACACAGGAAGCACCGCCCCCACCAAAGAAGAGCGCAGGCGGCCGGCTGCAGGCCAGCTCCCCAGTAGGGACATGTGAGAGGCAACTAATAGATGTGTCTCTCCCTCTCTTTCTCCCTCCCTTCCCCTCTCGATCAAAACAAATAAATAAAATCTTTCAAAAGATCTAAAGCAGGCCATCGTTTTGACGTGTCAGAAACACACACAACACACCACGTTTCCAGGGCACGCACACACCCAGACAAGCGTCAGACACGCCGGGGCGCGTGCCTGCCAGAGGCCAGAGAGCGCAGTGAGGAGGTAACTGACGAAGAAACAGCAGCGGGCCTGGCGCGGACAGGTGACAGGTGTGCCACAAACGAGGAGTGCGACCACCCCAACGCTGCACAGGGCGAAAAGGGTGTCCGCATCCACGAGACACGACCTCGCCACTGCCCAGACGCACACGGCCCACCGAGCTGGGACCCCGCAGGCAGCAGCGGGAGGACGCACCTGTGCAGTGAGACACGCCTTTGCAGGTGGCGTTGATGGCCTCCTGGCACTTCTTCTGGGCGGTCTCGAACCGGCAGTTTTTACAGCAGGGACTGTTCCTGTCACTGCGGGAGAAGGGACAGCCCAGGTCAGAGGGCAGCCCCACAGCCAACTCCGTGGTCACGGTACCGGGCCCTGGAGCCTGGCTGGAGAGAAGGTCTCCTGGCCGGGCCACCCTCCCGCGCTGCCCGGCTGCCCAGGTGCCCCGTCTGCCCTCCCGGCGCGGACTCGGGCAGCAGCGGCCCGGAAGGGAGGTACTGCTGGTCCGAAGGGACTCCTCTTTAAAACATCTTGGTGCTCTGGGCTCCCAAATTAACTTCATACAGAAATTTAAAACGAACGAAAACGAAAGCAGGCCTGCGAGGCAAACACTGGCCAGGAAGCCAGGGAGCCCGAGCCCCGCCCCCTGAAAAATCACAGCGTTCACACGCACCCCGTGTTCCGTGTTCCGCCTGCCCTGCCCGGACACCCCGCCCCACCCGGACACCCTGCCCCGCCCGGACGCCCCGCCCGCCGCGGCCGCACGCCCACCTGCACTGCACGCCCTCCTTCAGCGTGCAGTCGCTGTTGCAGCAGGTGTCGCTGTTCAGGTGCATGATGCCGGGGTCGCACTCCTCCCCTTCGTCCACCCTGGAGTTCCCGCACACCTTGTTGCTGCGCTCCTGGAAGCACTCCTGGGCCTTGCTCTCGATGGTCTTGTAGATGGACTGCTTGCTGCAGTTGGAGAACATCTGGCGGGAGAAAGGCCAAGAGGACCCGCAACAACGTAAGGACACGTTGCCGCGTGTTTGCGGCTCCTCTCTGGACCCCGGACGCAGCTGCCCCGCTCGGAGCCTCCGGGGCACGTCCAGCTGCATCGCGTCACCTCCAAATGGCCTCGAGTGCCACCACGTCCTCCCCCTCTTCAGAAGGTTAGAAAGCTGGCGTGAATTTGGTCAGCAGCCGAAGAGCCGCCACAGGAAGGCCAGCTGTACACGTGCTGAGCCCGCGAGCCCCGCCAGGCCACGGGCCGCCCCGCCCTCGGGGGGGGGGGGGCGGGGCACCGCCCGGCCACAGGGCGGACTGGACGCAGACCCGCCCTCCGAGGCAGAAGGCCCAGGCACGTACACCGGTCTGCGTCGGGGTACCCCGCCCTCCCTGCCTGGTGAACGGTCCACAGTTCAAGTCTCTACGTCACTGAGCATACTAAGAAGAGGCGGAGTGTTACTTACAGTCCGCTAAAAGACTCACTTCCAGACTGTTATCTGAACGTTTCCATGGGTCCCCAAGATTTTAAGTTTCTCTGTGACCAGTGTCTCAAAAGGAGCCTCCAGCCCAGCTCTCCCGGACCCTGGGAGCGGCCCTTCCTACAGGGAGGGAGACGGGCCAGGGGCTCTGAGCAGCCCCTTCTCCCAACCCCGACGTGGAAAAGGGACGCGTCGGGACGGCTGCCAGGCCGGGGCGGGGGCGTGTGAGCGCTGAGGGGACACGGGCAGGCACAGCACAGCCACGGGGGCATGGAGTGCAGCACGGGAAATGGGGCGGCCAGAGATCCTGCACGCATGCCCATGGACGTGAACAATGGGGGGGGGGGTCTGAGGGAGCGGGGGTGCCGGTGGAGGGGGCAAGGGGGGGAAATCAGGACAAGTGTAATAGCGCAACCAGTAAGATATAATTTAAAGAAAAGAAAAGCAGAACTCTGGCCATTGCCAAACTCTGACACCAAGTGTTCTTCCTGCCCCTGTTCAGGTTTTTCTGCCACAGGGCTCCTCGTGTGAGCGCACCCAGTGAGGGTGAGGGTGAGGGGTGAGGGGTGAGGGGTCGCCGCCTGCTCCTCTGCAGGGGGCACGACTGATGAAGCTCCCGAGACAGCAACCTCTCACATGTTTCATTGTTTAGGAAGGTTTACAACACGTGCACGTCGGTCTTCAAACAACGACGAAGGCATGAAAGGGAAGTAAGTAAACAAAAAGGGTCTCCCGACAAACTGTTGCAGTGCAGACGTTTGCGGGCCGGGCTCCGAAGGGAAGGCGGGACCAACACCGCAGCATGTCTCCTGCGTGGGGCCCGGCTCCCTCACCCCCTCACCCCCAGCCCCGCCCTCTCCAAGGCGGCAGGCAGGGTGTCTTCCCCACGCTGCCCGCTGCTGCGCCACGCAAGGTCAGACGACGGGACCAATGTCTCAGGCACTGCCCATCCAGACTCTAAGAGTCAGTCACGGCCACTCCTCAAGTCTCTGAAATCGGCGGTGGGATCTCAAGTCGACAAGTGTGCTCTGTCCGAAGCCCCGTCCAAACGCACGCACAGTCCCTGGGTGCTCGGTGATCTGCAGCCCCCCCCGCCCCCCCCCAGAAAGGACCTGTCCCAAGCTCCCACTGCAGTCACACGGCCGCTCCCTCTCCCGCCCGCACCGAGAAGCCCCGAGACACGCACCTTGTTGTTCTCATGGTCCCCACTCACAGCGATGGGGTACATCACGAACTTCCCTCCCTGGTCTTCGGTGGGGGCGCATTCCGCTAGACCGTCCGGGTCGTGTTCCGCCCCAAAGTTGTGCCCCAGTTCGTGCGTTGTAACCAGGTCAGCTTCCTGGAAGACCACGCGGAGAACACATTACTTCCCCATCGGTACCCAGCCGTCGTCACCAGCTTTGGCCAGTGGCCCTGCGGACGTAAACTGGGTCCTGACTGACCAGAGGCGGAAGGAACCCTTGCCTCTGCTCAGGCAGCTCCGGCAGCCTGTGCTCCACTCGGACAGCCCCCTCCCACATTCCCCTGAGGGTTAGTGCAGCCATGTGACCCGGCTCCGTCCCGAGACGGAGACAGAAGCCGGTGGGCAGGGCTTCCAGACCAGCATTCTAACTGGAACAGACCGCAGCAGGGAACGGAGCCGTGCCGGGACGTGGGGTGAGGAGGAGGACAAAGGCCTGGGCGTCCCAGGGCCGAGAGACAGCGGAGGCCCCGCCCGAGCACCTGAGCTCCTGCAGCCGCGCGGAACGCAGCCTACGCAGTGCTGCCTACGGACCGCTGCACTGAGGCCAGCGCGCCCCTCACTGCAGTCTCTGCGTGTGGGATCATCTGTTACATGGGTGCTCTGGGGTGTGTCTAACGTGTTTCTCATGGATGCATCTGGGCAAAAACAAGATCCTAAAATCCTCCAGAGGGAGAAACAGGCCACATACGAAGAAAAAAAACTGGAATGACTTCAGATTCTCCCACAGGGGCACCAACACTAAGGGACAAGGGAGCAGTGCCTTCAAATGTGCAGAGGACGGGGGACACACCAGTCCTCGTTTTCAGATACGCAACACCTCAGGGGCCTGCCGTCAGGTCCCCTCTCTTAGGAGACTCTTAGGAGAGGGCTTGTAGGGGTGTCAATCAAGAGGAGGAGGAACAGGGCCCCGGAGACAAGTCCGCAGCGTCTCCAGACACCAGCCACACGGCGGGCCCGGGCAGCCAGCCCCCACCGGGCAGGGGCAGGAGGGAGGGCTCCAGGGGAGCGCCCTGGGGAAGGCAGCAACCCAGAAGGCTCCGGAAGGAAGTCTGACTGGTACCTTTTATTCTCACACTGCCCACCACAGAATGTGTTTTTTTCAGACAGAAACAAACAAACAAAATACCCCATATGTATTACTCTTTTAGAAGACATCTACATAAATATACAACTACAGGAAATGAAAAGTCTATCCTTTAAAAAGATCAAAGAACAAAGAACGTACCTTTGTAAGAATGGTTTTACCATAATTTTTGGTGCTGGTCAAACCACTGTTCAAATAGATGTTCTTCCTCACGGCCGCGCTGTAGTACGCTGAAGGGGAGAGGAGACAGGCAAACTCCGTGTTCGCACAGGGCACCGCGTGAGCCCAGCAGCCTGCCGTGACCGCACACGCACGCACACGCACGCACACACGCACACGGGGCGGGCGGGGGGGCTTACCCTTCGGACAGACGCCCCCGTGACTGTTCGCCCTGGGAGAGCCGACGTACGCTAGCCCGAGAGTCCCCATATCGAAGTCCTGGTAGGTGAAGAGGTGTGCCAGGCAGACCTTGGATGCCTCTTCCGCTATGTCGAAGCTAAATTGCTTTAAAGAAGAAAGGTGTTCTCCATTACATTAACGACAACATCACGCTGCGTGATGCTGCAACCCGGCACAGCGCCGCGGGCCTGCAGGTGCTCCTCGCCCACCGCTCGGCCCGCCCACCTGCGCAGGTGAGGCGCAGGTGAGGCGCAGGTGAGGCGCACACTGTCGCCTGCACTGGCGGGGAGGCGCGAAGGCCCACAAAGGGAAGACGGGGAGCTCTTACAGCAGCTGTCGGAAGCCACGGGGCCGGCGGAGACCCTGCGGCCCAGCGCTGGGCACCCCAAATATATCAGTCTCAGGCGGGGACACCTCTCCGGGGGGATCTCAGCACCGCACTCCACACCGAGGCCTCGCACGTAACTCAAGGACCCTACTGGTTTGGCAGGGCTGTTGTTTCTTTGAAGTTTGCTTTGGTTGTACAATGTATGGGAGTTGTAAATATAGACTTATAAGAAAGCATGTAGATAGTTTTATGGTACTAAAATTAAGATTAAAAGACATGTAAGTCAGCACTGGTGCTTTGGGAGGATATTTTTTTTTTCCTTAAAAGCGCTCTACATATTACTTCAAAAACCTCTGCTAAAACCACCTGTGGCCTCCAATTTAAAAAGACCTTGATTTTTAAAATGCTTAACTGAGCGGTAGGAAAGGCCTGACTGAGAGACGTGGTGTGGCCAGGAGACCCCACTCTGGCCACGGGGGTTCTGACGGCTCGGCGGCTCAGGGGCGGCCCCTGGGGACCCGCTGGGAGCCTGCGAGGGGAGATCGGCAGAGCGCCTGCCGAGCCAAGGGCTCCCCCACCCCCGCCCCCGCAGACAGGCCGACAGGGGCGACGGTTGGCTGTCCCCGGGGCCAGGGCACTCTGGCCGTCAGTCACAGCTGCAGGACTCTCCGAGGACAACTCACCTGACCTTGTTGTTACAGGCTGAGCTGTGCCCCCCCCATTCATTCAAGTCTGAACCATCGGCACCTCAGAATGTCTGTCGCTGCACTTGACAATGAGGCCTTTCAGGGGGTAACTGAGGCGGAATGAGGTCCTATGGGCGGGCCCTGTCCAACCTGACGGGCGCCCTCCCGAGAGCGGGTGAGGGACAGACAGACAGAGGGACGACCGCGCGAGGACAGAGGGGGAGGATGGCCTCTGCCGGCCCGAGAGACAGACCTCAGAAGAAACCAACCCGGCCAGCCCCGTGACCTCAGGCCTCCAGCCTCCGGAACTACCAGACGGTGACGGTGTGTCCTCTCGGCCCCCAGCCCGTGGCCCTTTTGGCTGCTGGCCATCCCAGCAGCCGGGAGCACGTGCTGCGTCTCGGGGGAAGGCCGGCGGCGCTGCCCCAACCTGCCTCTGGGGTCGGGTCACCCGCAGGTCACACCGGACAAGGCACATGGGCGCACCACACAGACAGGGCGCTCCAGGGGTCTCACCCCGGGTGAGGAGTCGGCCACACTGCCGGAATGCCACTCAAACCCTGAGCACGGGACTTCTGCCTCGCGAGACTCCCACCCGGGAACCCTGGTGAGCCACCCGGTGCCGGGACTGCCCGTGCACGCTGCTGGGGAACTGAAGGGCTGCCTCCAGCTGCTGAGTCTGCGGTGGTGGTTAGAGCACCGAGAGGAGCCTGACAGGTTATCGACCCCCGGCAGACGGACCCCGCCGCCCCACAGGCCGCGCCACGAAGCAGCAGCACACGCAGAGCCCGGCGTCGGACAGGCCGAGCCGAGTTTTGCCGAGGCCCAGAGTGGTCTGGATCACGACCTTCAGACCGATCCCCGGACGGAAACACAGACACCTCCCGTTCTTCCACAGAACTCCCAGAGCCCCCATCACACTCCTGCCGCCTACTCTACCCCCACACCGCCCGATCATCGCGGGCCTGAGAGACTCCCTGCAAAGCTTCAGGGAGACCGAACGGGCAAAACGGCGCAGAAAACGTCCACGCTGGGCACGCGCCGACCTTCTGAGGCCCCGTCACCACCCACTGGGCGTGCAGAGCTGGCAGGCGGCGGCAGCGCTGCTTGGGGGTGCCTCCGTGTGCACAGCCTTTCTGCAACCCCCCCCCCCCCACCGCCACTGGCCCCGCTGCCGGGGACAAGGTGACTGCCCCGGCTCCCACGCACTTTCTGCCACGCGCCCCTTTGGCAGCGCAGACACGGCCCGCCTGCAGGACCCGCCCGGGTGTCACGGCGTCCCGAGAACCCAGGGCCCCACGACCTACCTCGAGCAACATCTTCACGTCCCACGCGTCCTTCTCCTCGTTCGGGTAACTTTTGGCCATGTTGTAGTGCCGCTCACCAGGTTTCACCTCTTGCGGAGACTTGAGAATTCGAATCTATACTTAAGGAGACAGTATGCTTAGAACACTTCAGGAAGGAAGTCACAAACTCCGTATACCGCATTGTTTTAGATGTTCGAAAAAGACTACGACCCTGGAGAAAAATGTGTTTCACAGCCAGAACTCCACAGAATTCTTCAGCTCTAGGTACTCAATGTTTAAGAACGGGAGAAGCATATAAGGAAAACATGCCGATGAATGACTCATAAATTTATAAATGTACTCTCAAATTTTCACGGCCTCTGTTTTCAGCTGAAAAGACAACTTAGTTGAAAATATTCCCTGCAACCACAGTCCAGGAGGCGGAGGCACAGGGCGACGAGGGTGACGAGGTGCGTGTCAGGACGAAGGGCTGAATGTGATTTCAGTCCCTTAACTGTTAAGGAGGAGTTACGTTTATACAGTCCTAAGGTTATTTCAGCCCTTCGAAGGCAACTGCAAGGGTGATGTGGCCCCCGGTGAAACAGAGTTCGACACCCCTGTTCTGCAGCAGGAAGTTTTATTTATTGATCCCAAAAAACCCAAACACGTTGCTGCTGTTTTAAACCAGCGAGGCAGCCCGACAGGCGCCGTGCCGGGAGAGCCTCGAACGTGTTCGTGGGGCGGGGAAGCTCGACCCGGGAGGACGGCGCCCTGTCAGTGTGGGGGTGCACGCAGGCGCCGTACAGGCACCAAGTGTCTCTAGAAACACACACGGCACCGGGGACACGGGCGCCTCTGGGGAAGAATGTGTCATAGTGGGCAGCTTCCCTGGCTTTTGTACCACGTGTGTGTGACCTATTCAAACAGTAACTTAAAAAGGAAAGTGCAAGCAAAAGAATGGACAAGGGAAAATAATTCTTAGTTTTATGCAAGTACTGTAAGAGTTTAACATTTATAAGAATGAGTATAATTTCACACTTTTTAAAAAAGTATCTAAATTCTATCTACAGAACCTGTAATAGGGTTAATTTAGTACAAAGAACCTAGGAAAAAAGTAGAAATAGTAATTTCCATAGTCTCCATATCAAAGTGTCTGTCCAAAGCAACACCCAATTTCAAAACAGTCTTTTTAATCAGTCTTATGAATTTGGAACAACTTTTACATGAGACAGAATGATGACATTAATACATCACGGCTGGACACATGCTATTAAATCAGGAGCTGCGGGGAGAGGAGGCCCATGGTCCTGTGTGTACACGTGCCCTGCAGTGCGCACAGCAGTTCTCAGCAGCGTCCCCGACTAGGGACCCGAGGCCAGGTGCCGGGACTCCAGCGACAGAGACAGACAGACAGACCGCCCAATCAAAGACAAAGAACGCGCCCTGGCTGGCGTAGCTCAGTGTATTGAGCTCGGGCTGCGAACCAAAGTGTCTCAGGTTCGATTCCCAGTCAGGGCACATGCCTGGGTTGCAGGCCATAACCCCCAGCAACCGCACACTGATGTTTCTCTCGCTCTATCTCCTTCCCTTCCCTCTCTAAAAATAAATAAATAAAATCTTTAAAAATAATAATAAAAAAAGACACAGAACGCAAGGTGGAGGATAAAAGGCCGTGAACTCAGAGAAAGGAGAGATCACAGCAGCAAAAAGCCTTCTGCCTAAAAGAAGCTTAAGAACAGAAAACATCATCATCTATAAATAACACCCAAAGCACCATGTAACACCAAACGAGGATTACTGGCACTTGAGGGTGTTCGTTTGTGATCCCATCTGAAGACAAGCTGTGGGGGACGGGCGTCAGTGACGGGCACTGACGTCGCACACTCACGAGTGACGTGAGCACTCGCGGGCGGGCCCATACCTGCTCTATCTGCACCCCGTAGCCTCGGAAGCCCGCGTTGTCCCAGGAAGTGTTCCGGTAGATGTCGTCCACCCTGTCGATCAGCTCTATCTGTGGGGGGGGCGGGGGGGGGGGGAGAGAGAAAATGCACATCTTTACTGCTCTTCCCAATGTAACGATTCCCGCATGGAGAGAGAAGTCAGTTTAGAGAAAATGCCATTATAAAAGTTTCCACCAATCGCAACAACTAGCACGAAGGTGTTACTTTTATCGCTGACACCACTGACAGAGAAATTACTCCCAGCCCCAAACCACGCTGCTAGCAGAATGAAACAGCGGTGCACCGTGTTCCAGACCCAAGCAATCAGATGTGTACTGAGCCGAAGCGCCGAGTAACGGGCTTTTTAAAAACTGCCGTTCCAGTCAACCACAGAAACGAGAGTTAGCAGTCCATCAATCTAACTAAAACATTCCCTTCTAAGAAGTACTCCGTCTTCATTCACTCCAGCCCTCGGCACGCCCCGCGCCTGGCACCGCCAACCCTGCCCCGGCCCCACCGGGCAGAGCGCAGCTCCGAGGCCCGTGACGAGGACACCGGGGCAGGAGGGGCCACCCCGCTTCCTCCTGCACGCGGACTGGGGAAGGGGGACGGTGGGTACAGAGGGTCAGTGCAGCAGCCAAGGGCGGCCCGCACTACCTAAGAACAGAACGCTCCTTCCCGGCCTCCTCCCCCTCCCAGATCACTTCCTACTGCTCCGAACGGAGCGGGTGAGGGCGGCTCAGACGACCGTGAAGCACGTTACAGGCAGGAAACTGCTGCTTGCTTACAGCGACTGTAAGACTGAGAAACACGGATTTTAAGAATAAACCTCTCACTATATTCATATTCCTGGTGTAACGAACAAAGAAGTAAATTAAGAGGAGCCCCTTGAGACAAAGCGCCATTCAGAAACTTTTCCGAGAAAGCCCTCTCTCACGGAGGAGCGGGAACCACCATGACGTCGCACGCCGCTCCCACTGCCCTGACAATGGGCTCTTTCACGGCGCGGGGGAGAGGGCACAGGAGGCACAAGCCAACAGAACCGGGACGGGAGCAGCGAGGCGGCGAGAAAGCAGCCTTCACTGCGCCGGGCTCTCGGTCCACGAATCGCTGCCTTCTCTCGTTCCCTGAACAGCCCGCGGCCAGGGCCCAGCTAGGACCGGTGAGGTCACACTGGGAAGAGAGGTCAATGAAGCCCGACCCCGTGACTTTTCAAACTGCTCAGTAAATGCCTGAAAACCCCACGTCGACACTTCCAGCACCTTCCCTGCACGTCTCAGCCCTACAGTGGGTTCCGACCCCGAGAGTCCCATCGGTTTCGCCAGAGTCCAACAGTCGGCGGCGTCACGACTCAGACCAGACCGCCTTCTCTGCAACGCGCACAACTAAGGCACGCCGGCTGGCGCAGACACCTTCGCCACCCTGGAGCACACGCTCGCACGCGTGGCCAAGGAGACCGCCGCCGTCGCAGCGGGGTGCTTCCACAGAGCCCACTTCTAGGGGGAGAGGCCTACACCGGAAGCGCACAACAAGGCTGATGCGCAGGAAGCAACAGTTCAGAGGGAAAACAGACTTTCCAAACTTCAAACGCAGACTCTCTACGCGGTCACGTCAGAACCTCAGAGGGCAGCCCTCGAGTCTTTCACAAACCACCACGGCGTCGGGAGCAGCCCCGGCCTCCGTGCGTGCCCGGCCGCGGCAGGCCTCGCGGCACTCACCAGGTAGTTGGTGGTGGTGCTCTCCTCCCCGCGGCCCATGTGCCGGTAGAAGCGGTGGTCGGCCACCACCAGCAGTTTGCATGTGTTCTTCAGGGGGTGCGGCTCGGCCCTCCTCTTCGCCCGAGGGGCGTGCCCTGGTGTGGATCATCGGCACGCACCGTTACATCGAAACGCATCAGAACAAGGGGTGTTTTACAGTAACCCTTTCGGTCTAGCATGTTTTTGAAACAAACATTACCTGAGCTTAGATATCTTGAACAAAAAAAAACAATTTGGAGGAAAACAGGAAAGTAGTACGAGGTTTTAAAATTGTAGAATTCAAAACCAAGGAAAGGTGTCTCTGTAATTTTTAAAAGGAGGCGACTTTAAAGAGCACTCAGAAGTGAAGCAGTCACCTATTTACTGCTGGGCTCTGAAGCTTTCACCTTATTCTGGAAATAAGTAGAAATGTCAAGGTAATCACACATTAAAAATTAGTTTGTGTTAACAGGTTGTTTTTCTTATCAAATAATCAAACTATTTAAGAATTTATTTACATACTAAGCCCTGGCTGGTGTGGCTCAGTGGACTGAGTGCTGCCTGCGAACTAAAGGGTCGCTAGTTCAATTCCCAGTCAGGGCACATGCCTGGGTCGTGGGCCAGGTCCCCAGTAGGGGGCGCGCAAAAGGCAACCACACATTGATGTTTCTCTCCCTCCCTCCCTTCCCCTGTCTTGGAAAATAAATAAAATCTTTTTAAAAAAAATAATTTATTTACATACAAAATTCTAGTAATATTTTCTAAGGTTTTCAAAAATGAGGAGTAGACTGTTTCTCCAAGATGGTTGTTTTCAAACGACTAAATGGATCTGTCCCAAACTGATCACCTCCTTCTCTCTACACAACAGAGAACTCTCGTTACCAACTTCTTTATAAACTTATCTAAAGGCTGTTTTACAACAGTATTATTTTGTCATTTTTTAAATACCTGCAAATAAAGAATATTTCCCTCAGAATTTTCTAAAAATTTTATTTATTTAACTTTACAGAGGGAAAGGAAGGGAGAGAGCGGGGGAGAGGAACACCCATCAGGTGCCTCTCACGCGCCCCCTACTGGGCACCTGGCCCTCAGCCCACTCAGACACACCAGCCGGGCTCCCTCAGATTGCCTAATTCCCCGTTCCCCAATCTTTCTTTAGGTCCAGTCTTTACTGTCACCACTGTTTTCTAGTGTTTTCACTTCTTATAGGCAAAAGGATTAACTTTAACATTTCTGAAAACAACTACCTTCAACTTGATAAACATTTGTTTAATCAATTAATCATCACCCCACTGAAGACAGCCGAAACGCTTGTTTTTCATTCGAAAAATGTTTCCTAAGTCCTACCATCACGGGGCTCCCTGTCTATCAGCCCTTCCGGGAGCAGATCTTCATCTTCCGCCTTTATGTACCCGCACACTTTTGAAGACTGGAACCTCGAAACATTCTTGATATCTTCGGATTTATAAACCAGCATTCTCTTGTCTTTAGTATCATTAATTAGTCTCCAAAGTGGCTGAAATAGAAAGAGTAATTAAGACAGAAAATATAAAAACTTCTGAACATTAAATTCTTACATCCTTCCTTGCGTTTTTTTTTTTTTTTAAAAACCCACCAAAGGACATGCCTATTGATCTCAGAGAGAGGGGCGGGGGAGGAGAGAAACATCGATTGCTGCCTCCCGCACCGGCCCTGAGCAGAGCCCGAACCCCCGCCCCAGGGCATGTGCCCTGACCAGGAACCGAATCCGCAACCTTTCGGTGTGCCGGATGACGCTCCAACCAACTGAGCCACTCCAGCCAGGGTCCCTTCCTTGTTTTTAGGTAACATTCATTTCCAGGTTATTAAAATGACAAGTCGTTTTATCAAAAATACACCATTCCAATTCTCATCACAGCGTTTCCATGCTGGTAAATAAATACATGGGCTATTCAGTCTTTGACGTTATCTGTCCATGAAGAGGGGCACCGTGCTGCAGAAGTTATGAAGTCTTTCCGGAGGCCCGGAAGGGAGCAAGCCCCCCCTTTCCCATCCACTGGCACTGTTCCAGGGGACAGACACGCAGCCGCCACACAAGTCAGACCAGGTTTCGGTTCTCGGGCTTCTTCATTCCAGCTCCCTTAACATCTTTTTACGTCCAGGGAAGAACAGGCACATTTTTGTGAGAGAAGACCAAAAGCTTGTAACAATATGCCTAGAATTTATCAGTTCCATGGAAAGCAGTTTTTCAAAAACCTCACTGACAAGACTGTAAGGCCGCGGTAAATCAGAACTGACACACTCGAGAGGTTGCCCACGTCCACGGGGTCTCTCTGCCCCCGTGTTCTGCCATGCAGAATGTGCTCCCGTGTACGATGCGCACCCATGTTTGGCTACTGGTTTCTGCCTCAAAAATTTGGGCAAAAACAAAATGCCCATCAAACATGGCAAAATAGTAATTTAAAACCAAGTTCCTTTCTGTATGGACTGCTCTCATCAGAGCTGAACGGCCTGGGAGAAATGCACAAAAAAGATATAAAATTTGTATAAACACACACACACGCATCTGTGCATCCACATCCATCTGGAAACGGAACTAAAATCTCAAGAAAACACTACTTCACACACACCAGGAAGGCGATAACCGAAAGCACACCCGGTAACGGGGGCGGGCGAGAGTGTGGACACACCGCAGGCTCGCGCACTGCCGGTGAGAGCGCACGGCGAGCTGCACGGCGTGCCTCGTGGGAAACGGTGCGAGGGCGAAGCGCAGCCCCTCCGGAGAGCAGCGCCGCCCCACGGCCCAGCGGCCCCGCTCCTGGTTCACGCCCAAGAGAGATGGAAACATGTGCTCAAACAGAAACTGCCCCACAAGAGATCACACCACCACTCACAGCAGTCGAAAAGTGATGAAAGCAACTCAGATGTCCCCCTGGAGAGTGAACAAGCAGAACGCGGTGGGTGTGCCCGCACAGGGGGTCTTATTTGGTAGCCAGAGAAGTGAAGCTCTGACACGAGCTACAACGTGAACGGAACCGAACACATTCCAAGTGGAAGAAGCCAGTCACGGCACAGCACATACCGTGTGACTCCGGTCACATGAGACGCCCAGGCAACCCTGGAGGGAGAGCACTGGATCGGTGGTTGCTCAGGGCCAGGGGAACTGGGGGGAAAGGCTGGCGGGCTGCTAAGGGGTAAGAGGTTTCTTTTGGGGGTGATTGAATGTTCCAGAATTGGTCGCGGTGATAACTGCACAACTCTGTGAACACACTAAAAACCACTGAATTATGTACTGTGAATGGGCCCAGTGCACAGTGTGTGAGCTGCATCTCGACACAGCTGTGAAGTGCACACGGGTATGCCCTTCCTTCTTGACCCACGTACGAGGCAGATTTAAGAAACAATGGTCACGGAGCCTCAGGGCTAACTAACCAGCTTCACCCGGCCTACAGAGAGAGGAAGAGACTCTTTTTTGTATGCTGGTACAAACATTTCTGAATTCACATGAACGGTTTTATAATCCAGCCCGCCCAACACAGAGAAAGACAGCAGGCTTTGGGATCAGAGACGCCCGGGTTCAAACCTCTGCGGTACCCCACGCCACTGCCTTGGACAAGTACTTTATCTGAGTACAGCTTTTCTCACTGGGTAAAGCAGTGATAACACCTATTTTGAAGATAATGTAAAATATTAAGATGTCAAAACAAAGGTAGTTAACTACCTCTACTACTAGAAGCAAATCCTATTATCACCATTACTAGTTAAGTTGCTGGGGAAAACCACCTGCTGGATAACCAGGTGAGAGGCGAGAGGCGAGAACTCCGGCTGGACCGGAGAGCGACGGCGGAGACTCGAGGACAGACTGTGCGGCTGCGCACTGACCGCCAGCGCTCACGTGCACGGGAAGCCTTCACCACAGCAGACACTGCCACAGTTGCCGTGTGTTGGTGCCGTCGCCACTGCCCAGAGTTCTTTTATTTTCCTAGAGACATGGAATCACTTCGGCCCACAAATCTGCTTTTTCGGGCTGGCCCATTTTCCAGGCTGGGGCCTGGCTCATGGCTGTGTGCCTGCCCAAATGCGACCGGGACAGTCTCGGTTTCCCCAGCCAGAACGCTCACGAGAGAGCGGCCAGGGCCCGAGTTCCCCACGGTCCCCTCCTTTCACCTCCCAGAGTGTAAACCATCACCACCCTTTCCTGGCCCTGCATTTCCAGAGCATCCAGAAAATTAGGGGAAACGGACAAATAAGACTTCGCCTTTACCCATGAGAATGTTTACACCTATAGTAGGATTACTAAAGAAAGAATAAGGAAAAAATGAGTCACAAGGGAAATTTTCTCTTCCTCTTGTACAGCCCACGTGACTTTTATTCAGTCACAGTACTCAGAAGCACAGGGTGCGTGTCACCCTGCTGGTGTGGCTCAGCTGGGTGGGGCATCGTCCTGCACACCGAAAGGTCATTCGCTCGATTCTCGGTCAGGGCCCGTGTCCAGGTCACGGGTTCGGTCCCCCATGAGGGCGTGTGCGGGAGGCAGCAGACTGACGTTTCTCTCCCATGTCAGTGTTTCTCCCCCTCCCTCCCTCCCTCCCCTTCTCTCCAAAACCAACAGCACGTCCTCGGGTGAGAATGAAAAAAAGAAAATACAGGGTGCATCTTATGACAGTTTCTCAGCTGTTTGTAAAAAAATATTATCTTCTTTTTAAAGAAGAATCATCCACTTCTCTGGTTAAAATACTCCAAATACAAGAAGGAAATTAAATATTACAGGCCTTTGTCTTCTTAGAACTGAGAAATCACTTTTTAAAAATCAGAGATATGTAAGTGAAGTCAGTCACACGGAAAATGACGAGAACCACCTGACTTCACTCACGTGTGGGATATGAAATAAAAAGCAACAAACGAAGAAGCCAAACAGACAGAAGACGAACTCACACAGACGACAGAAAGGTGGCTACCGGAGAGAGGGAGGGCGGGGGCGGACAGACGGACAGGCGAGGCCCAGGGGGTCCGGTCCACGGTGACGGGAGGAGACCAGACTCCGGGGGTGAGCACCCAAGGGAGCAGAGATGTCACATTATAATACAACGCTGTGCACCTGAGATTCGTGTTATTAGCCAGTGTTACTCCAATACATTTGACGAGAAAGAACAACGGAAGCGTAGTGCACGCTGAAGAAGTGCACGCGCAGGCCCACCTCTACGTTGTACTCCGCCGCGTCCGTGTTGATCCGTATGGTGACGTCATCGTCCCCAATGTGGGCCAGAACCCGAGAGTTGGGCTCCCCTTGGGAGAAAAAGATCTTTCATTATTAAAACAATTTGCATCAAAAACTAAACTACGCACAGCTGCCGTTACAAACCCACGGGGCCCTTCGTCAGCGTGAGCGAGCCCGCGCGGAGGCCTGCCCTGCCGCTGGGGGGGCCCGGACCGGCCAGAGTCCCCTCCACGGGGGCCTCGCTCCGGCATCTGAAACCCATCTCCGTGCCTCCAGCTTCGCATGAGAATGACCTGAACCTATCTGTTTTAGAACAAAACAAGCCAATGTGTAGACTTCCTTCTGGAATCACTGCCTATTCGGGGGTAAGAGAGAACTAACAGGGAACAGAGGTCTTGAACTCTACTATTGGACACCATTTTTTGGACAGAGCAAATAAGTATTTACTTATTTATTATTTTTGTAAGTGAACTGACTTTTCTTTAAAAAACATTTTGTGATGCAGATGAACATAAAATTTGGCACAGCAAGCCTGTTTTACATAAGCAATTAAATTACAGCATGCCACATGACAATTTTAATGCCTTTTTTTTATTGTAGAAAGTTCCACAAGTAAACCACAATTACCAGCTTGATACAGTTTCTTCAGTAATACATAACAGGATCATAAAGTCAAGTGTCTTCTCTCCCAGCGCCCCTGTTTAAAATCTCAGAAGGACGTCTGCAGTCCTTTTCTGGAGGAAAGAGGTTAAACTCTTGTCCCCGGAGAGGATGCCCACTGTGGCCGTGAAAGCGGCCGGCAGGCCGGAGGCACCCACGTCATCCGGTTGGGGCGCCTCTGCCCCCAAACCCAGACAGCCGGCGGGAAACAAAGAGCGTGTCGGCTCTCCGACAGCCCTGCTCCCTCCTCCTGGAAACGAACAGACGGCCCATTGAGACCCGGGCCCCAACCCGGACACCACGGCCGGCGAGCAGGCCGCACACTCACCGACCACGTGCCCGCTGAAGAAGTCCTGCCACCGGACGCTGTACTCGCTTTCCTCTTTGCCGTCCACCACCACGACTTTGAAATTCCGGGAGAAGCGTTCAGTGCTCGATGTCAAGTACAATTTAAAATGCCTGCAGAAGGGATGTATCTGGATGTTATTCTAGGAACACAAAAGGGAAGCCTCGTTTTCACTCAGTTAAACTTTCTTTTAAAAAAAAAAGCTGACGTGCAACTTTAACTGCAGTTTCACTGGGCACGTCGAGCACTGTATCTCCTGTAAAACGAAGAGGCTGACGTCTTCCGTTGTGAGAACCCGGCAGACCAAGAGCAACTAGAACTGGGGGAAAAGGGTTCACACAGCTTAGGCATTCGTCTTTCCCGGAGACCCCGAAGGATACAGAAACACACACATGCACACAGTGTAAGTCGGAGTCCTGCTTGTCTCAAAAACTTAGAAACTGGCATTACTAGTTGCTATTTACTGAACGCTTACGCAACACCAGACGCTCTGTTTATCTCATCTCCACCTTGCAGGGTAAACACTGCAGCCCGGAGGTTACTCAACGCACTCGAGGTCACACGGCTGGTCAACGGCGAGAACTGACCAGAGTTATAACGGAGCAGGACAGTTGCCTCAGTTCGTTCAGACGCCTGCACTGTGTGCCTCTGGCCATCAGTCTGATCTTACTGCTGTGCAAAGTTAATAAATGCTACTCTTCCGTATTTAGAAGCACTTGGGTTTTTTTCTCCTTCTAAAGAAAACTTATCTTGAAAAAAATTAATCCACAATCCCGTAAGAAAAATAAACACAAGGCAAAAAGCAAAAGAGACATTAAAATACCACTATAGCCCTTTAGTTGGCTCAATATTCTTTTGTTTTCTGTGAGTTTCAGACCTCACTAAAAACTGGGCATGGGCCTCGCTGGTGTGGCTCAGTGGATTGAGCGCAGGCCTGTGAACCAAAGGGTCACTGGTTCGATTCCCGGTCAGGGCGCATGCCTGGGTTGCAGGCCAGGTCCCCAGGGCGGGGACGTGTGAGAGGCAACCACACATGGATGTTTCTCCCCCTTCACTTTCTCCTTCCCTTCCCCCTCTCTAAAAATAAATAAACAAAATCTCCAAAAACAAACTGGGCATGGTGGGCGAGAAGTTTTCGATGATCATTCACAGAGCCCTCTCGGCGTGCCCATGAACTCCAGAGATAAAGGCGGGCACACTTTCCGTCTCGGCCACAGGAACTGGCTTTGCTGTGGGGCTGAAAATGTGAGACGTTACTTCCCCATGGGTCCGCACAAGTCTGAGCTGCCTGGAAGTACCTAGACTGAGACGGTCTCCATGGCAATGAATATTTTTAACGTTTCTCAGCATAACGAGGTAATTTTAGTTCGCTTGTGTGTTTTCATGGTCACAGGGAAGGAGACAACGGAACATCATTTCAGAAAACTTTGGAAGGCTTTCTCCTGCCACCCTCAAACATACCCTCCCCTGCATTCGCAGGTAGGACTTCCCCCTCCGGCTATGCCGAGAGCTTTGAAAGGCACCCCTAGTAAAAATGTCCTGTTAGTTACTTGTAGTGCTCTCCAGGGGTTTCAATATTACTTTTACTTAATGTTTTGTCCAGAAAAATCACTGGAATTGGACTCTTCCTTTGCAACACTTAATAATCTGCTCTGTTGTAAAGATTAGGGCCAAGTGATGGTAAAATTCCTGTTTTTTGAGTATCACATCCACAGGTGGCAAACACAGGCCCATGGGCCGCCCTCCGCCTTGCTTCATCCGGCCCAGCGCCTTGTTTCTGCCTGGGGGAAGCCCCGGGCTCTGGCTTAGCCGGTAAGGAGCAGTTACCTTTGCACAGTCCTGGAACTACGCTCGGCCCCGTGAGGGCAACCGTGGGGCTGACGAGGCCCCAGTGACAATGACTTTGATACCTCTGGTCTAATCTTTACCTTTCAGTTATAAAGGCGCCAACAGAATGTTAGTCAGAATTTGTATTTTACTCTATCCCCCCAAAATTATGTGAAGTCATGTACTTACAGACTTCTTTTAGCATGTTCATTATCTTTCTGACTTTTAAGGATTTACAGTAACTACACGTTGGTGCTAATCTGTATGCATTAACATTTTACTTTTTGTATATATCACAAAATGATCATCACAGTAAGTCTCATTGATATTTGTCACCATAGTTTCAAATTGTTTTTCTTGTGATAAGAACTTTTAAGATATGTTCTCTTAGCAACTTTCAAATATACAATACAGTATTATCATTAACTATAATCACCATGCTGTAGATTATATCCCAGAACTTCTTTACTTTATATAACTGGAAGTTTGTACCTCATATTTATTTTAAATGATCTATAAATATATTACTGACATCTCTCGAATACCTATCTACTTTTTCAAAAGAACCATCAGTATGAATTTTAGAATAAGCAATAAACAATGTTAAGAATCCTGACAGACGAATTATAAAATTTACAAATCTTTAAAAATGCAACTTCCCAAGACACCCTTATACACCTGAAACTATATAATATCGTATGTCAACTATAACTGAAAAAAATACCTATTTTTCTGCTTTTGCCAAACCAAGTCCCACTTGCCCCAAATTTTTCTATGAATATTGCAAATCACCTTTTCAGCGCCGAGAAGGTCAGCAGTGTCTCCAGGTGCGTCGGGGCCTGCAGGTCCCTCTTCCGCACTGAGTGCTGGCGGAGGCTGGCCTGGGAGAGGATGTCGTAGTCCGAGAGCACGGAGTCCAGCTCCTCTGGGCGGGAGGCAAAAAGGATGAACACGTCACCCTAGGAACCAGCTGTAGCATCTCTACAGTGAGAGTCAGACCACAATCCCTTCCTAATGTAACACAGTAGGAGGTGCCCAGCACAAACCTATGAGGCACTCTTACCAAAAAACACAAAATCGAACCTGAATCTAATCAAGATCTAACCTCTAGTTTTGAAGACGTAGATGTCGAATGTTGCCAAATTAAATAACCTTAGCAAGCAATCAGCCACACCCAGAATGTCAGAATTCGGGCAGAACAAATGACCCAGTTTCTTCAGGAAATACACGGCAAGGGACAGAGGGGCGGGGCCGAGCCCTGACAGACAGGAGTCTGTCGGGCATGCCACGGGCGAGAATGCTCCTAGGCCCTGGGTCAAACAGCCCCCCGAGGAAGGATGCTGGCGACCACCAGGGAAATCCGAACACGAGGCCGTGCTCACGTCAGACGGTGGGCGTTTTCAGATCTCAGAGCACCCTGTTCTGCAACGACCTAACTTCTAAATTAAAGGCATTTCGGGCTTGTGTCAGAATTGCTAACATCAAGGTGGCCAATTCCACCTGCCCACTGCCGACCTGGGCTGCACCAACTTCTCATCGGTTGATGTGTGGCGAGAAAGAGCAACAAGTGCATGAATGGCCCGAGCAAACCGAAACTGGGGGAGTATAAGCCTTTCACAGAAAAATCACGTAGGCCAAACCGAAGAGCAACCAGTGCTACGTCCCCATTGCTGCTCCCCTCAACGGGCACAGCAGAGCCGCAACCCAGCGGACGCCAGGAAGCCAAAGCGATAAGACCACACTAATCCCCGGGGAAACCAACATTAATTATTTCACCAGACCGACTTGGAACCCAAGAAGGGCCAAGACCGCTGCTCCAAAAATAGTGCAGACACAGAAATGTTTTCACTTGACACAGAGCGAGAGTAGACACTGTGAGGTACGTGCTGCCCTGTACGTCACTGGTCATCAGTAGCAACTCTGCTGCCTCTGCCCAAATCAGGAGAATTTTTGGAATACAATTTTGGTGACTTAAGTCTCTGTAGAAACTGTCTAAAAATATTTGAGCTGAGGATGCTTTCCTTTTCTCTCAACAAGTATCACTGCAGAAGCAATGGGATTCAAAATCATTCCACTGGACTCAGGGTGCCCTCAAAATAGAGCAGCTTAAAATACAAGAGAACCACTCCTGAGGGTACACAGGCTCACAAAACCACGGATGAAATACAGAATCGACCCAACGCCCTTCCCCTTCCCCTAGACTTCCTCGTGTCTGTCTCTGGTGCACGGCTCCGCGCCAGGCCCTAGCTAAGCACTGAGACACAGCCTCAAACAGAACCGAGTCCCTGCCCAATGCAGCACCGGCTCCACTGAGGGAGAGATAGGCAGCGCGCAAGCAAGTACAAGTCGGTGCTGTGGGCGTTGAGGCAGGACGGCGGACGTGGGGAGAGGGAAGGGCCCGTTACAAAGAGCGCCCGGGAGAGGAGGAGAACCGCCGCCCTGTGCAACCCCGAAGACAGGAGGGGGTGGGCACGCTGCCGCATGCGCAAAGTCAGTTCTCCCGAAGTCCACTCGAGGGTCTAACTCAAGACAAAATTACACAAAGTAGCAGCAAACTTCACACTTGCTGGGGCCCACCACTTTCTGTTCATCAAATTCCCTTTTAAATTTAACCCAGAGGCCCTGATCTGCGTGACTCAGAGGGTTGGGCACCATTCTGCAAACCAAAAGGTCACCGGTTTGGTTCCCAGTCGGGGCACAGGCCTGGGTTGCAGGCCAGGTCCCTGGCTGGGGGCGTGCAAGAGGCAACCAATCAATGTTTCTCTCACACATCAATGTTTCCCTTTCTCTAAAAATAAATAAATAAAATCTTTTTTTTAAGATTTTATTTATTTATTTGTAGAGAGGGAAGGGGGGAAGGGGGAGAGAGAGGGGGGAGAGAGAGAGAGAGAGAGAGAGAGAGAGAGAGAGAGAGAGAGAGAGAGAGAGAGGGAGAGGGAGAGAGAGAGAGAGACATCAATGTGCAGTTGCTGGGGGTCATGGCCTGCAACACAGGCATGTACCCTGACTGGGAATCGAACCTGCGACACTTTGGTTCGCAGCCCACGCTCAATCCACTGAGCTACGCCAGCCAGGGCTGTTAAATAAAATCTTTTAAAAAAATTAAAATAAATTTAATCCAGAGGAACACTGTTTCAGAAGCCATCAATCAATCACTTTTACACCTATGGATGGATGGTTATTGATGATGTGTCCTTGCTAATGTCTATAATGCTTAACAACACCAATAAAAACCTTCAAGAAGCTGCCCTGGTTGGCATGGCTCAGTAGACTGAGTGCTGGCCTGCGAACCAAAGGGTCGCCAGTTCAACTCCCAGTGAGGGCACATGTCTGGATTGCAGGCCAGGTCCCCATTAGGGGATGCAAAAGAGACAACTGCACATTCTTGTTTCTCTCCCTCTTCTTCCCTTCCTCTCTCTAAAAAATAAACAAATAAAACCCTAAAAAAAGACCTTCAAGAAGCTTACCATTTATTCAGCAATTTTTGAGGGTTTGTTGCCTACAAGACATCATACTGGTGTTTTAAATTATCTGCACAAACATCCCTGGGGTATCATTCCCATTTTACAGATGACAAAACAGACTCAGGGAGCACAGAACTGGGATTTGAACTTGGGAATGCCTGGCTGAAAACCCCAACCAAAAGTATGATTTCTTTACTGAAATCATACTTTTTCAGCTCCTTGAAGATGGGCTAGCTCGTCTTGGACTACCACCTACTTCTGGGCCTCCTACTTTCTGACAAGACGTCCAAAGACCACCTCGCCTCCCTGGGACTTCTGAAGCCCCGCGCTGACTCCTTTCTCCCGGCACTTCTGAATGACGTTCACTTTATCTCACAGACGGACTGGGAAACGGCCAACAGGGAGCTCCGCTTCCCTCATCACAGCGCCCTCACCTCCCAACACCCAGCACAGAAGCTCGGGCGCACAGCACCCTCAGGCTCACAGATTGCACAAATGCTCAATGCTGAGACGCTGGTACCATCCTCCTCCCCTCTTCAGCTTCCTGATACGGACAGGCCGGTACATGAACTCAGTTTCATTCGAGATCGTAATCACTCCTACTGACTGAGAAACTCGACCTCGACACTGCAGTGCCATTGTCACTGTCACAGGCCAGTCCTCCCCGGCGTGTGCTCCCCACACCAGCAGCAGCAGCAGCAGCAGCAGCCTCACCTGGGAACTTGTCCGGAAGGCCCGTTTTCAGGGTCTCCTCTCCCACTGCGGCAGAGGTTCCCGGGGTGGAACCCAGCAATCTGTGTTTAACCTGCCCGCCAGGTGATGCGGGTGCGCACTCCAGTCGGAGACCCGCTGAACTGGGCTAACGCGAGGAAGTAACTCGAAGGAAAAACCTTCACACGAGACAGAGCTCACCGCCCAGCCCTGCGTTATTTCAACAAACGGACATCGGAAACAAGGCAACAACCGGAAGACAGGCGAGTCACGGTGCTTCTAAATGACAGTGCAACCGTTTAAATGGTTTTAAAAACAGGTTTTTAAGAACATGGGGAAATATTTATGCTACAATATTAAACAAAGGTAGATTTTTTAAAAATCTACTCATATTGCACGATCTTACCTACGTATAAAAACAGGCCTAGAAAGAAGAGCAAGAGCAACACAGTGACGTTACTGATTACCTTCAGGTGTACCCTCTCTATACAACAGGTACTTTTCAAGTGTAGCTTGCTAAAGCACGTTAGAACACGTAACTACTGTTTCCATTGTAATGTGTCCTCTTATGACACTGGGTGCTCCGGGGCCACCGCCAACAGCGGGGCAGAGCGGTGCGCCTGTCCGACAGCCCGGGACAGCCCGACCGCCTGCTCGGGCTGCTGTCCTGGAACCAGCCAGTGGCCGCTCAGATGCTCCGCATTCACTGCACTCCACTTCCCGAATTTCAACCACCGGTAGTATCAGTTTTCTACAGTTTTCCCAACAGAATTTATATTTCCCCCACTTCCCAAGAGTTTTTAACCCTTTATCCATCTCCAAATCTCTCAATAAATGTAATATAAGCCACTTAGCTACCATTCTTAGCTCAGTGTGTGGCCGTCACCTCTGCGAGAAACCCCACAAGGGCTGCCCAGCCCTGCACAACGAGAGCGTCCTCCCCGGCTGCTACAGACCCCCCCAGCAACGACCCTTACCCTCTGAGCCCTTCTCACGCCGGCGGGCTACAAACACAAATCGGAGAACAGCAGACCATCCGAAAGGTCGGGCGGGGGTACTGAGTGGTCGCCGTGCCCCCTGCCCACCCCTCCCTGCTCTTCCCTGCCACGTGCCATGGTTTCCCCCCCTCGGCCCCCCATCTGGCTGTCCTTAGAGACCCTCCCTTCCTCACTGCTCTTGCATCTTCTCCACCCCACCCCTCCTTTCTTACACACACCTTCTACACGTCATTTCCCCCTCTGCTAGACTCCACCTACTCACTCATTCAGTATTTACTGAAAACCCCCTACCTTCCACACACGACGGATATAACGGAGAAAGAGAAATGCATTTCCGATACTGTGACATTGGTGGAAAGACCACCACACAAAAAAATTACCATGAAAGGCCCTACCTTGTGCGGCTCGGTGGACTGAGTGCCGGCCTGCGAGCCAGAGGGTTGCGGGTTTGATTCCCAGTCAGGGCACAGGCCTGGGTTATGGGCCAGGTCCCCAGTGGGGGGCCTGTGACAGGCAGCCACACAGTGATGTTTCTCTCCCTTTCTTTCTCCCTTGCTTTCCCTCTCTAGGAATAGATAAATAAAATGTTTTTTTAAAAACGTAAAAGAAAGCCCTGGCTGGCGTACTTCAGTGGATTGAGCGCGGGCTGTGAACCAAAGTGTCGCAGGTTTGATTCCCAGTCAGGGCACATGCCTGGGTTGCAGGCCATGACCCCCAGCAACCACACATTGATGTTTCTCCCTCCCTCCCTC